TGGATTCAACTTTGAAAATTCTGGATAGCTTTTAGTTGGTGCACAGTAAGTGAACTATCTTCACTTGTAACACCACCATCTATTACAGTTTGGATATGGGGTGTCCCCCCAAAACTCCTGCATTAGTGCAGTAATATTCAGAGGCAAACAATTAGATTATGAGAGATGTAACCTGATCAGTCAACCTGGTTTGAATGGACTGACTGGGTGGTAATTGAAGGCAGGTGGGGTGAGGCTGGAGGAGGTAAGCCACCGGAAACGTGTTCTGAAAGGATGCATCTTCACTGTGGCTCCTCCTCCCTCTCTCTGCTTCCTGGCTGCCCTGAATAAAGCAGTACTCCTCCACCACACCATCTACCATGATGTTCTGCTCATGGAATCCAGAGCAACGCAGAGGGCTGTATATGGACTTCTGAAACTGTGAGCCCCAAATAAACTTCTCCTTCTCTAAATTGTCGTCAGATATTTTATTCAAAAGTGATGTAAAGCTGACTAAAATACTATCTTTGACAATAAAACATTTGCCTGAAGTTTAAATACACATTATTCTCAAGCAATATGGCCTTGGTGGTCCTGATTTTCACGAAGAATTCATTCCCTTGGACAATAAATGCCCTGAGCCTCTTTGTGAATAGAGGTGACTCTCTACATACTGAATTCCAGCTGCCGGGAGGCCATTTCCCATGGGTTTCCCACCTTTCTGTACACCTATGAGCAGAGATACAGAAGCTTTTTTCTAGACTATCTTCTCAAGGATGTTTGTATAGCAAACAGCCTTGGAAGGTAGTGTTCTCTTCCAGGAAGAGGGCGAGATTGCTGTCAGGATGATAAAGATTGAACAGGCTTTGCTAACCCTTAAAAGGGTCAGGTTTCCCAAGTTCAGTGTCTCAGCTGTGATGTGAACTGCTGCATGTGCAGCGTCCACCTGGGCTACCCCACAGCACCTGCATGAAACTTGGGAGATGCCGGTGGGGTCATGGAGTTCATGGAACCTGCTATGCTCCTGAGCTAGGAGTCCCCTGCCTTCTGCCAGCCCTCACGACACTGGCAGATTAACTTTTTAGCTTGCACATAGAGTTAAATAAAAATAGTTTACACCAACCATTAAAAAAAATTATAAAGTTAAAGAACTTCTGTGTCCTATCCGAAAGCCCACCTCTCTGTCTAATAGAGTCATAGCACAGGAATACATATTCTCTTCTGGAGTTCACTGCAAAGGAGTTTAATATTTCCACACAGAAAACCTAAATGCAAATTTAATGTATTAAAGGACATACGTAAGAAACGTGAATATAAAACATTAGGAATAGATAATTCTAGAAGGTGCAGATAAAACTAAGTTAGAAACCATTTGTTCAATTTTGGTTCCTAGTCCCACAAACCAAACCATTGTTAAAGAAAATTATAGCCCTACCGCCCTCTACTGGAACCAGCTGGAAAATACAGGGAAATAGTTAAAAGTTAACTCTTCATACAAGCCACTGGGTGCCTAAGCAGTACTCACTGCTGCCCTTATCCAGGTTTTAAGGTGTAACTCTGACATGGTCAACAAGGTAAGAGAAACACAGCTCCCTTTGTGCACACAGGCTAATAAGTTAATACTGAACAACCCAGTGCTGAAAAGAGTGGATGGCCTTTGCAGCAGCTACTGATTGTCCGGCCCACTGAGTGTAGGTTTTGCTCAGAGTCCTGGCTAGCAGCCACTAGCACATTCACAGCACCTTACCTACCCCACTTCCTTTCCACAGACAATGCTGATTAGAACCCTCCCATTGCCTTTTTTTTTTTTTTTTTGGGCATCGGGGATTGAACTCCGGGCGCTTAATCACTGAGCTACATCCCCAACACTTTTCTGTATTTTATTTGGAAACAGTGTCTCACTGAATTGTTAAGGGCCTCACCAAGTTCCTGAAGCTGGCTTTGAACTCACAATCCTTCTGCCTAAGCCTCTGGAGCCACTGGGATTACAGACGTGGTGCCACAGCACCAAGCCTTCTCAATTAACCCCCACACCAAATCTATTCAACTCCATCTCAAAAGTATCACTCTGTTCTCGGGAAAAACAGTAGAGCTGGACATAGTGAATGCCAACTTGGCCACCAGCAGAGTACATCACTTTGTGATCTCAAATGGTTGAATGCCAAAGGCCCAGAGTTTAATGTCACCCTATCAGTACCACCAAGTATTGGTGTCCAGTTGTTTAGGTCATGCAACGCAATCAGAAAAAATATATATAATGCACCAATAAATGTATTTATTTATAAATTATATAAGTGTACAATTGTACAATATATTATGTACATTATAAAACACACAAAAATAGAAATTTTAAAGGATGAGATTAAATACAAATAATCATTTTAACATTTTCTCAATGGATTGATCATCTGCATACCCCTGGGATGTACACCACCCCACCTGAAATCACAGCCCTAAAGCATGTCAATAATTGCTGTTATTTGGGTTTTAGCTCAGTTACAGGAAAATGTACAAGATCACATCTTTTTTTTTTTTTCTCTAGAGTTTTGCAAAATAGCCCTAGCTTCAAGTTTAAATGTGTGAAGCTGCTTGGTGCTAACTTCTTGAGACATATCTGAAATAATCATTACACAGTTAGTAAATGTAATGTTATGGTTCACTGATCGTTGTTTCACTTTAAGGCAGACTAAATAGGGGATTCATGGAGCTGAATCAGAATGTGAGAGGAAAAGTTCTTTAAAGAAGCATTTAAAAACAAAGGGTGATGTTTGCCTACCTGAAAAAAAGAGTAATAAACAATTAATCTCTAAAACAAATAACTTCTTCTGTCTGTAATGGAAAAACAAAAACAAAACAAAAAAGGCATTCCAAACAGCTACCAGCCAAGGTAATGGGTTGAGATGGCACACCACCTGTCTGCCTGACAGAACACCAGTGAGTTCTTAACAGACTTTATTTTTATAGTCCCAGAATCCAGACACAGAGGCCAGGTACATAGAAACTCAGTCAACACCTGATGACCAATGAACAATCCCTTAAAAATATGTAAGATGTTGGATTACATTTGAAATATCAATTCCTACTAAAGAACATTACAGGATATAGTTCGGATGACTGAAAAACATCATGGCAAGAATAATGCCTTGCTACCTGTTTCCATATCAGATGTTGGTGTCTCTGCTCCCCTGCTTCCCAACACAAAGTGGCTGTTACAGCTGGCAGCCTGTCCTGGCTCCAACCCCCCAGCGCAGAAGTACAGCAGAGCACAAAGAATTACTCTACATGGAGAAACTAGTTCAATGTGCTCAATTAAATTTAAAAATTTAGAGGACATGAATATCTAATTTGGGGTAGGGGGCGATACAGGGGCACTTGACCACGAAGTCACATCCCCAGCCCTATTTTGTTTTATTTAGAGACACTGAGTTGCTTAGTACCTCTCTTTTGCTAAGGCTGGCTTTGAATTTGCTATTCTCCGGTCTCAGCCTCCGGAGCCACTGGGATTACAGGGTGCACCACCATGCCCAGCAATCTGAGTAACTTTGAGATTGAGATCTCTAAATGGAAAACACATGGGGGCCTACATCAAATTTTATAATGCTAAACATTTACCACTGATTACACTTTCAATAGTGGCAATAAAGTCTCCTGGAAGGCTGTATTTGGTTTTAATAGGTACTTTACCAATTTAAAGAGATTAAAATATTCATGATTTAAATAATTTCAAAAATAACCAATTTCATTCTGTTCACATTGTTTTCATCTAGATGCTCATTTATTTTGTTGATAAAGTCACTGTTTTTTGATAGGAAAATGAAACGTCATTTAATAAATTTCCATGAGATTAAATACAATCTAGGGGTAAATTATAATCCCATTCCATAGAAAGAAGGGATGTGGAGTTCAGTGACTTAGTGGAGAGATTAGAATCACAAACGTTCTTCCATTACTGTAGTATGGAAAGAGGTACCTAAGGTATGCATTAATTGGTTTTATTTGATTGGGATAGTTATACACATCACACAAAGAAAGGGCAAAGGAAAACAGATTGGTGAGCCTCTCTTAGTACGGAGGTGAGGCTGTTTTTGCATTATGGTGACTTATTAGGGTGGGAAATCCACCTCTTCAAAAAGTCAGTTGTTTCAATGAACTTTTGCAAAACCTCCTTAAGGCAAAATCACCACTAAAAAAATAAATTCTTTTCTTAAAAGTATGTTTCAAGAAGTATAGGAAACGTGAACCCTAACATTATCTTATTTGCTCAATGTCCTTGACCTTATGCCACTTTGCTTTCTCTGATCTCTCTCTCCCCTTTTACTCGAGTAAGCACTCCCTACATCATTTGCATTACTAGCAGCTGCCTCAACCCACACTGCAGCTTCACCACAAACCTGATTTTAAAAGTAAACCCACCCTTACTTGTAACGTGAAACAAATCTTCAGTGGCACAGCTTCCTGCCTGCCAAGAGGAGGGCTCCCTAGACTGGTTAATAAGGTTCTAATGAAAAAAACTTCTCTGACCATTTGACAGCAAGTATTGCATTCTAAATTTAGAACCAAAAGTCATTCATGCTTTTGCTAATTTCCAAATTTTATTTCAAACTACTATAGTAACAAAATAACAATGGTAATTCTGTATGGAGAGTAGCAACCCTTTAAATAAACAAGGTCACAGTACTCCAATAGTACTTTGGCCTGGGGAAATTTTGATGAGAGGATTATTATAATCGATCTTATAATATGATAGTCTTGTTTCCTCCCTGTCTAGTATAATAAAAATTCTCCTCTCACCCCAATGATTCATCACATATACATATCTATTTTATATTAAGAACAACCCTTTTGGTTGTACTATGTGAGTGGAAATCCCTCTCACTCCGGGGTTTTTCTATGGTATACAAAGATAGCAGTCACTTAGTCATATTAAATTTTTAGTTGGGAAAAAAAAAAAAAAGAATGGATTACCCTATTTATGTCCTTTCTCTAAAAATAAAAAGACAAAGACAATAGCAAACATAAAATGAGTCAAACTTCTATTTTATTAACAGGAGTCCAAAATGAATACAAAAAGATCCCTCCTTTGCATATTATACTATTTTCCTTAAAAGGCTTCTGATAGAGTCAGGTAGATTAAAAGCTAAGAATGTAGTTCAGCTTTTATAGTGAACCTTTTAAAAAAGGTTTGATATTGATAACATAAACCACCAACATCAGAGAACATATGGTCCCACAATTACTTTTAGACCTATAGCTAGCTTATCAAAAGAATTAGATCCTGCCCTGATCTACTAAGATAGAGGCTTAAAAATGTTTTAAGCCATTAAAAGCCATCTTTATAATCTCTCGAATAACGCTGGGCAATTAAGAAAACAAAATCCCAAAATGTAGCCCTCTATATTATGTGGAATGTGAGAGAATACCAACTTATGACCAAGAAAGATGAAAATAAAAGGCTTAAATCCACGTAAGGAGCTATTATAGTCTCATCACCTGCAAAATATCAATAAATTGAGTAACAGAGCTTATCAAGGCAAAATTTGAGATGTTACTTAAAACATATGTGATGTTTATCATACTAAAACTAAAGCTGAACAAAGAAAAGTTGCTCATTTATAAATTTTCATGTACCTTGACTTTTACTGGGACCATAAATTGATCAGATAATACATAGCCCACACTTTGGACAGTTATAATAACAAAGGATTTATTATAATTTGCAGATGAAATAAATGCACCATCCCATACTTGAAAGACTTTAATAAGCCCTAAATGTCCTAAACTTTTTTTTTTTTCCCCCAGATTATACCAAGGCACCACCAATTGCCTAGTTATTTTATGCAACCATTTCTAGTAAAGAAACTAACACTTCCTTCAATATTGGTTCTGCACTGTTTCTGGTTTATTATACACTTCCAAACAGCAAAAGTTTGCAAATATGTGCAAACACTCTGGTCCACTCATAGTACTGATTAGTCATCATCTTCCTCTTCCTCTTCTTCTTCCTCAAAGCTATCTTCAAAGCCCTCGCTGTCTTCCTGGTCTTCATCCCCCTCTATTGCTGTGTCCCACTGCGGGTGATTTTCTGGCACAGGCTTAGCCTCATGAACTTCCAACTATGAAGAAGGAATGTAGATGTTAGAAAATTAAGGAGAAATAATGGAAGAAATATCTGATAAAGAATAGCTTTTCTTTTACCACAGCAAAATACAGATTTTTACAGATATAACTCTAAATTCAACACACTGACACTTCATCCTAGAAATGTCAATCTACTTTAACATATAATTAAATTTCTAATAGTTTAATATTCTGCTCTTATAGAAGTTAAAACTACTTATGGATGTATTTCTGTAGAACAAAAAACTAATGATCATAATTCTTGAGCAGAAGTGCTGAGTGATATCTTAAAATATTTAAAAAAGACTGGAAATATGGCTCAGTATTTTAGTGCTCCTGTGTTCAATCTCTGGTGCTCACCCCCCCCCCCCGCCAAAAAAGAAAAACTAAAATATGACCTTCTAAAAGATATTTTGTAAGCTCTAGTAGAACTCTCATGGGAAAAGAGAGGCTCATTTTACTCTTTTCCATGCAAGAATATATCAGCACCATTTTTCCTAACAGAATGCTTTCTATAAAATGCTCAAGTGAACTGGTAAACACTGATAGAAGTGTGCTTCAAGTGATAAAAGAAAACATATGCTCTAAGATGAACTTAAAAATGATTTTATAATTAAAAAACACTCCAATAGAATATGCAGTAAAATCTATATGCTTTTAAAAGAAATGAACATATTGATGAGACCCTGTAAGTTATAGCATATTAAGGCATATTAAAATACATCATTAATATAATTTATAGTCAAGGTTCTAAATCATACCTCTTAAAAATCCTACTCAACAATGTAAGTTTATTATTGAAAAAGTAAGGAAGGATCTCTTTTTCGTTATTACTTTGCATTGCAAAACTAGAAATGCTTCCCTCACACTCAAGTATTTACTCCAACAGGCTACTGTACTTGTTGAAGAGACACTATTCTTACCTTCAATGGTTTAATTTGATCCAAACCCATATAGGAGTCTGACCTCAGAAACACTGTGTACTGATAATTCCCAGGCTTTCCTGGTGCAGGAAACTTCAATTCTACCTAGAAGATAAAATTAACACTTAAAAATCTCCATTTTGAGGAGGAAACAACAGCATACCCTTAAAATTACTAGACCAGAGTACTTAACAGTCATGTTTTATTCATTCATGTGATACAGGAAGTTATAAATCATGACTTGTTACAAAAGGCCCAACAACAATAACAAATACACATACGTGAAATATATGTTTATCTATTACATACTCTACACAGAAAGGAAATCTATTAGGCAGAACGGATGGGGTTAATCTTTAATCTGTATCTTCACCATTCAAGAAAGCATATTTAAAGTAAACAACCATGTTCTTTGTTGACTATTATCTTGGGTAAACTGAAGAAATTAAGTGGAGTATAAAAGTAAAATAAAATGCTGGAGTTAATAAAAATATAGACAGGAGATAATACTGGTTGAAGTTTCTTATTACAAGGATAAATGGCCAATCCCTTTAAAAGGTCAAATAGGTATTTGAATTCCCATCAAATCATAGACTTTGGGCTGGGGCTACATCTCAGTGGTAGAGTGCTTGCTTGAGGCACTGGGTTCCATCCTCAGCACCACATAAAAATAAATAAAGATACTGTGTCCATTTACAACTTAAAAATATTTTTTAAAAATCACAGACTACAAAGACAAACAGTAACACCCTCAGGTATCTCAATTCCACTTGGGTGAAGGAAGAGTACATTTTTTTAAATGACATTTGGATGCTTTGGTGATCTAAACCTCCAGAATTCATATTTTGTAGCCAAGATTATATATTGAGATAATCTTGGCTACCATAAAAACTTAATAAAACTAGAAAAACAAAATCATGGGAGAATCTTAAAAAAAAAAAAAAAAAAACAACACCTCAGGGTTGGTGTGTAACTCAGTGGCAGAGCACTAACCTAGCATGCACAGGCCCTGGGATGGAACCCCAGTACAGAAACACATGCTCACCCGTGCACACATACATACACACACCTACTCTCTTTCTCTCTCATCTTCAGTTTGGCCTTTCTAACTATAACATCATCTAGAAGCTCCAAAAAAAAAAAAATTTATAAACCATACTTGAAAAACAAAGAATAAAGGAAAATGGATAAACAAATTGTTTTCTGCTTATTAAAAACCATCTTAGTACTAGAGAGAAATATTTGCCACACAGTCACAGCAGGCTGATTTCTTAACATCACTGGAAAAAAAAAAAAAAAGAACAACTCAAACCCATTTAAAAGACCCAACAAAAATGAGGAATGGTCACAAACAGACACAAAAAGAAATATGTCTTGAACCCACTGAAAGTGTTCAGTTCCACTCTAAAAAAGAAACAGAAAATTTAAACTACACTGAGCAGCATAAAAATTGATTTAGATAAGATTCATCAATGTATGCTAAAATGACTGGGCAAAAGACTGGGAGAACAGGATATTCACACAGAGCCCAGATACTGCCACACAGATGAGTGGGGAGAGTATCTTTACAACAGATCAATCTTAATATCATCAATGTGGAGCAAACTGGTATAACGCGCCCTGATGTGATGCACTAAGTATGTACATCATTAGTGCTGTATGCTTGCCAGATATAAATATAAGGAGTAACCAATGAAACAAACTCATATTAACTGATATTCTTTTTCTTTTTTAAAAGAGAGAGAGAGAGAGAGAGAGAATTTTTTATATTTATTTCCTAGTTTTCGGTGGACACAACATCTTTGTTTGTATGTAGTGCTGAGGATTGAACCCGGGCCGCACGCATGCCAGGCGAGCGCGCTACAGCTTGAGCCACATCCCCAGCCCTTAACTGATATTCTATAAAATACCTTGCCTGGATTCCTGAAAAATGTCAAGAAAATTTCAAAATGAAAAAGGACAAGAAAGTGTTCTAAAGAGACACAACAACCAAATGCAAAGTGTAATCCCTGATAGGATCCTGAACTTAGAAACAAATCAAAACAAAAAGACATCAGTGAAAAATTTGAGGAAATTTGAATATGGACTGTGTATTAGATAATATCACACCAATTTTAAATTCCTCGAGTATAATAATTGTGTTGCGCTTATGAAACAAAAGGCTCCCCCGATCTTGGAAGATAGATACATGTCCTTTTTACTGGATAAAAAGGGAAGGTGTAAAACAGATATGCCATCTTCTGTGTAAAATCTGAGGGGGAAATAATAATGTATGTATTCGTTTATAATTTACATATAATATTACATGAAGAATACGTAAAAAAATGATAATACTGATGGTCTCCAGGAAAAGGAAAAGGTGATGGAAAACATATGCAAGATGTTTCACTTCATGCACTTTTATATTTTCTGAAATTTTAGGTGAATGCATTACCTATTCAAAAACAGGTAAAAATTTTTAAAAAAAGGTCAAAACAAATACAACTTAAGAGTTGGCTTTATCTTTAAGCATCAAATAAGTATTAGCTATTCCACACATTTACTGCATGGTTATAAAAATTATTTTAAAGATTTTTTGTACTAAAAATCAACATCTAGAAATATCTTGAAATTCAAAACCCTTGCCCTTGTCTGCCTGGTCCAGACAAACAGAACCTTCTTCCTAGAAAAGGTAACAGCCAAAAACATCAAGGGAAAAAAAAAAAAAAACCCAGAATGCAATTCCCAAGGGTAAATGATGTTTATCACGAAGCTACTTTTATGATGTTATAAAAGCAGGCAATGCCATTCAGTCAAAAATTCTATTCTAAAAATTTAAATCCACCAATTCTTACATCATAAATGTTTATAAAATATTAAATTCTGGAGAAGAGGAGCAAAGAAAAATGCTCTTGAACACTAACAGTAAAAACTGCCAAAACTATATTGATGAGTTTTTAAAAGAGTGACCAAGTTACTTACCTCTAATATTTCTTTATAAATGTCCAATGAGCTCACTCTCAAAACATCAGGGAATAGTAAGACAACAGACACAACACAATTCAATTGTTGAAAGCCATCCATGGGCTATGTGTGTAAGCTATGCACATTTGAGCATATGAGGGGACTGGCCTGGCACTGCGCGCTGATTGGGCTGTGCAATTTAAGTGTGCCTTTCCTTTCGCTCTGCCTGCGATCCCACACAGCACTTCAGATGGGTGTGACTTGCCAAGACGTCAAGCAATCTGCTGACCACAAAACATCACCAAGCAAGACTCCACCCTTTGAAACCCCACCCTTGTCTTATTCTGGTGGAACATTTTATCAAATATCTTTTCCCCAATAATTGGGGGGGGGGGTCCAGGTGTGCTCTCTATCTTGCTCCTTCCAGTGCTATCCAGCATGGAGCAGACCCTTGGGGTCACTGAGAATTTCCCCCCTCAAAACTCATGTTCCTGTTTTGTGTGGGTTCTTTGCCATTTTCTCAGTTTATTGAATGAGCCAGCTCCTTTGAACCCAGCTCATCTCGCCAGCCCAGCCAGCTGGCGACATGCAGTAAGCTCTGATAAACTGATATTTTAAGCAGATTTTATCAAGCAGCATGACGATGAGATGCTGTACATTGTTAAAAATGGAAATATTATTGAGTAATTACCTCTTCTGTATCTTTTAGTGTACAAACATGATATGGCATAGAAATTAACGTCTGTTCCTTCCTATCTGCAATATAAAGCCACCACCATTCTTGTTTTTCCTGGAAAGAGGAGGAAAAAAAACAATAAGAACAACGAACAGTACGATAATCAGAAAGAATTAGAGAAGCATTTTTGGCTTGTCTTATTTCAGAATACTGTCCTTGTTTTGGTCACTGCTATATCCTCAACACTGACACAGTGCCTGGTTCAATAATTTACCAAATTAATAAACTGTTCTTAACTATTTATAGATCCATTCCTTACTCTTCAAAAATAATTTTATATGCAATTTTGGGGGTTTATTTTAAATCTACTGATGGGTTCCATATTAAAAAACCCTGATTCACCTTAAATGACAAAAGATATTCTTAAAAAATATATTGACTTTTACAATATCATGTAACAAATAATCTTTTAACACATAATAAGCAAAAGCTACAAAGTAGGAGTGGAAAGAACTCAGGCAGCCAAATAAAAAAATCAATATATTAAAAGCATTTCTAGTTCAACTTAAAAAAAAAAAAATCAGGAACACTAAAAAAGTTGGGTAAAGAAACTGCCATCAGAATGCACAACGGCAGCAGGAAGAAACAGAAAACTATTTTCTGTTGGGCAAAAAACTATTTTCTTTAAAAAATTTAGAAAGACAAGGAAGCACCAAACCTCAATGTGCTCAGTAACCACTGCTGTATTACAGCTCTTGTCAATAACTGTTTAGTCATCTGTCCAGCCATAGGGTTAGGACAATCGTAATAGGGATAGCTGTATATATAATATTTGCCTATGCGTTTTTGTATACAAAATAGTGTGATAGTCTCAAAATGGAATATTAGAATCTAGACTTTGTGGGTCACAGGATCTCTGTTGTAGCTACTCAGATCTGCCTTGAAAAAGGGGAGTGGGACTGTATTTTAATTAAGACTTTATTGTAAATAAAGATTTTTTTACAAAAACAGGCAGGGAGCTAGATTTGGCCTGCAGCCTATATTTTGCCAATACTTGCTTTAAAGCTACCTATACCTGAGTTAGTTCACCTCTCTAAATCTAGTTTTCCTTCTCTGTTAAATGATGAGTGCCTGGAATGTTGTGAAGATGAAATGAGATAATACAAGGAAAATACATGTTAGATTTCTGTCAGCATACAGGGTATAATAAATGACAGTTATGATTATTAGAATGAGTTACAACCTCAATCTCTCATTTAAGTGGTTCTGATGTGTCAGAAACATCATTACCATATCATGTATGTACTATAAGCAGCATAGGGATATGTTCAAGAGTGTGCATTTCTTATTTACCTCACTATTTAGAAACTGCCTTTCCCTTCACTCTCAAGTTGTTTAATTACAATGAAATTCACTCCAGCATATTTACAAGAAGCTGATGAATGTCAATCAATGACACTGTACATAGGTACTGATTTACTTGTTTAAAAAGTGAAACTGACATTCTATTGAGTTATTTGCACTTTTTTTGAAAATTATCCTTCAGTTGTGTGCAATTCTCAACCATTCCTAACATACTAATAAATGAGTTTCAATAAAATGTAAGTCAATTATTACTAAGAGGGTAATTAGGTACATCAGAAAATAGACAAGGAAATGTCAGGAAGATCCTAAAAAAATTGCATGTGATAAATGACAGTTTGAGATATTTATCATGTATAAACACATTATACTACAAAAAGGCATTTCCACTGATAAAATGTTCTAAAGGAATGAATGGATGTTTAATTTACCAATAAAACATGGTCTAAAATGAAACTGGGTACAAATTATGCAGTATACATATCCCACAGCACTTTTTAAACCAATCAAATGAGTAGAATTTATTCACTTGATTTTTGGGATGCTTGGTGTTGGCAGACTACCTCTGCAGTGGGCAAAATGCCCTCAACAGATGGGCTAAAAGCTCAAGACACGCCAGAAGATCAGTGTGTGCATTAAGATGGAATCCTGGGAAGACTTCTATCCAAGTCAAAACAACAGTCTGTGCAGAGCCAATCACTTATTACTGAGAGAGCCAAATTATTTAGGAATTTGCCTTAAGCAGCCCCAGCATTTCTGGATTGAGATTCTCAAGCAGAAAGCAGACTTATTATATGAGAGCACAATCAAATGTGAATAAAGAGCAAAGCTGTGTGGCAGTCTGTGGAACAGTGTCCCAGTTCTTGACCTCTGCTCCACAGACAGAATCATCCTCAAAAGCAAAGTGTTAAGAGAATCCCAAAGTAATCTGAAAGACAAATAACATAGGCTAGCAAATAGATCAAAAGTTGAACAGGCATAATAACAAAGTAAACAAGAGAACAAATAGCATTATAATGATGCTCTGTCCTGAGCTTAAGACTCAGTCATGCCTATCTCTTACTGAACTTTGCTCAGGGCTCAGAACACAGCTGGTCCCACAGCCACAGGCTCACTCATTTCCACAGACTAGGGCAATAACTGGGATCAAAGCAAGTCTAATGGTTCCAGGTGGCAACTACAGAATCCTCAGAAAGAAAATTTAAGAATTTTTTTCATCCTATTAGAACTTGACAGGGTTGAGGTTTGTGACTGTCAAGCAGTCAAAGGCAAAATATACATTTGTCTGATAAATACTGATGACTGCTAATGAGAAATAATCATTAAGCACAAAAGTAATATGAGCTCAGAAAAGACAGAAGCACAGGAAATCACAGAAGTATTTTAAAAGTTAACAATCCTCCTTTCAAACAACATATTCACTAAAAACAATCCACATTGCAATGTATCCTTTAAAAACATAATCAGGAATATATCACAGTTAGTGTATTTGAGCAGGTACACTCCAAAGAGCAATAAAATCCAAATAAGAAATATCTGAGGAGAAGAGAAAGTGAATAGGCTATGTGTAACTCACCTCAGGAAAGTAAAGACTGTACACAGGATGTGTTATTTTTGATTTGGTTTCCAGTAGGGCTCTTTCCTTTCGCTGTATACTCTGTTGTAATTCTTGCCACTCCTGGTAAAGAATAAAAAGATCTGAAACCTGGTAGGGTTTGCCCATTTTGAGGAGTTTCTATTATTCCTAAAAATGCTAATTAACTAATTAGGTTAGAACAAGTTCAGTCCCATAAATCATCTCCTAGCTCAAACCTGCAATCCCTCTAACTCCCATAGCACTACAGGGCCATTAATAATCTCCATAACCTCCTTTTTTTTTAGTACCAGGGGACACTTAACCACCAAGCCACATCTCCAGCCCTTTTTTATTTTATTAGAGACAGGGTCTTGCTGAGTTGCTTAGTGCCTTGCTAAGTTGCTGAAGCTGGGTTGAAACTTGTGATGCTCTTGCCTCAGCCTCCCGATTCCTTGGGATTACAGGTGTGTGCCATGGTGCCTGGCTAATAATCTGACCATGGCCTACAGCTAATCTCCTGTCATTGCTTTCCTCCTGATGCTTTTTATTCTCATTATTTCAAACTGACTATACTTCACTGAAGTTAGCAAACTATTTCACTCTTCTTAAACTCTGTATGGATTTTTGTTCTTCCCTTTCTTTGTCTGGAAAATTCCTATTTGTTCTTCTTTTAGGGCCAATTTAGTACAAACTCCTGAATAAGGCCTACTACAAATTTCCTTCTGTCTGAGAACTGAGTTGATCACTGCTTCCTTTGTGCCATCACTATACCTTGCATAAGATATACATTAGTCTCATATATTTACAAGTCTGCCTATACCACTAGCCTGTGTTATCATTCAAGGGCAGAAACTGTTTCCTATTTGGCTTGCGTTCCTTGTCATCTAAGACAATGCTTGGGATGGGACAGGTCATGAGTAATTATTTGTTGGCTGCATGAATGTATTTTTGGTCATCTGAAAAAATAAGTCTGTTAAAATCTTAAGATCACCTATATTAACACTAAGACACTCAAGAAAGAATATGTCAACTTTCCAAAAGTGAAGCTAGGGAAATAATCTCTTGGACAAATTTTATTTCTTGGCAATCATTTTAATTCTCAAAATACAAAACCTTCAAGGCCTAGCAAAAAGTAAAAGTAGTTATCCATGTTGTTGTCCACCATTCCTAAGGATGTGTGCACTAACTCCTTTTATTCTTTTGCCCTCTACCTCTCCCTGGTCTCTCCTGTTGCCTCAGAAGCTATTCAGGGATTCTCGCCCAAACCAGAAGGGTTACTTTTAGATTAAAGGCCCAGTCAATAATTATACATATTTTGGTGTACAACATGATACTTCAATGCATGCATATACCATGTGTACTGATCAAATAAAGGCAGTTAGCATTTTCATTTAAAAAAGAAAAAAAAACACCAACAAACACAAAGGAAACAGCTCATCAGTTTGCAGTGAGTCTCTAAGGACCATTATTTGTCCACCACAGTCTTTCTTTATAGTTTTTCTATAAATGATGCGCAATTTCATATTATGAGATTTTTGCCCCATGCTTCATACTTAACCATCTTAATAACTTCCTTAAATGTCTTATATACTCATGAAACAAGGTGACATTCCATAATGTTAGCTCTCCCTTAACACCTCTTGACAGAAAGTCCACAGTAATGTTTCTTCACCTAAACACTACCTGGAACCTGTGTCAGGGCCTTCAAAGTAACTGCTTCCCATTTTGCAGTCCACCTTCCCTTACTCATATTTCCAGAGATACCCTAATACTGAAAATTTCTTAAAGAAGGAAAACTGACTTCACCTCAGACCTAGGTTCTACTCTACCTAGCAATTTAAGATCTAAGAAAATTAGATTTCCAATCCTAGTTTGAAACAATTTTTCTTTATAAACTCTGACTGGCATTCCTTTAAAAAATTTGCAAAGTAATTAAATGAAAAAATGCACAGGTTCTAAGACAGATAAACTGAAAGCAAGCAAGCAAACAAAGGAACACTAACAAAACCCAAAACAATCATCAGGGGCATAATCCAGTTATTTAAATCTATTCATCTTACTGCTTCATCATCTTTGTTTTGTTTTTCATCCTGCTCTCTATCAGATTCTCTGTCACTACCATCATCTTTCTCACTCTGGGAATCTCTATTGGTTTCTTCTTCTTCAGAATCACTGCCTTTGTCAGAAACTTCTTCTTCATCCTCCTTCACTCCACCTTCCTAAAGGGAAAAAAGCAAGCACAAAGTTTTGAATATTTCTAGTAATATTGATCATTTTGCATCCCTGAAGCTAACTTATTGTCAACATAACTAAGCTGGCTGAAGATTAAATTTTCACTATCCAAGCAGAATTTAAGAAAATTATGAACATTTTTATTTATAAAGATGAAGGAGTAAGACTGAAGACTTTAACATCTGGCTCACCTAATAAGTCTAAGATTAGTAATTGTATCCCTTCTTCACAGTTTGTAAGATAAAAATATTTATTTTCAAAGTACACTACCACAATAGCTAAGATGATTCGGCTTTCAAAAGTATCAATTATACAATACATTTTATTTAGGAGAGGAAATGGGCAGTTTACTGAAAAATACTGTCTTTGGAGTGTAGGGTCATCTTCTGTAACAGGTTATAACATATTAAGGAAAGTCAATATCCAAGGCAAAAATAATAGTGTTCGATTCAAGAAGCAAGAAAACAGAGTATCAAGTTAAATGCAAAGAAAGTTGAAGTAAATAATTGACTAGAAATCAAGAAAACAAAAGAACCAAGACAGTTATTTGAAAAGATTAGTAAAATTGAAAGTCTCTAAGCAAGAATATTTAAGAGGATACAAAATACTGGAAATAAATAAGATTAACCAGATCCAACAGACATTAAAATAAAAGAATATTATAAATAGTTTTATACCAATAAACTTCTAATTTAGAGGAAACAGACAAATTCCCTGGAAAATAATTAACATAAACTGGTAAGAAAAGGATAAAATATATACCCCATGAAACAAGGTGAAGAAATAGCTTATGTTTAAAACTTTTCCATAGTTTCCCTAAAGAATTCTTCCAAATAAGAAGGAAAAAAGTTCTTCCAGGAAAAAAAGAGAATACTTCCTAGCTCGTTTAATGAGGTCAGATATCATAGCAGACAAGGATATTACAAGAGAAAAAAAGACACCAATATTTTCTTCTAAAAAGAGAAAAAAAGAAACATCAATATCCTCTCATAAAAACAGTTGTAAGAGTCCGACCCAGGAATTCCAGTATGATTTAAAAATTTTAAATCCGCCAATACAATTCACCACATTAATAAAAGGAAAAAATAAATAAAATGATCACTAAATATATGCAGAAAAAGCATTTAATAAGATCCACTATCTGCTCATGATAAACAATTATCAGCAAATAGGAAATGGAAGGAAATACTTCCTTAACCTGATGAAGGATACAAAACCCTGCAGCTAACAATATACTTGGTAGTAAAATAACTGTTTTGCTTTCTTCCTAAGATAAAAAATAAAGTAAAGGGTGTGTACAATTATCACTTCTACTCAATATCACTCTGAAAATTCCAACCAACAGAGAAAGGCAAGGCAGACAAGAAGGGCATTAGGCTTAAAAGGAAAAAGGCAAAACTATATCCAGTCACACAGAGCATGACTGCATATGTGGAAAATCTTCATTAAAATATTTTTACAAATAGCTAAGACTCTTTGATACAAGAGCAATATTTAGATAGCAACCAGATTTCTATATGCCAGCCACAAACACTGAAGAATAATTTTTTAAAATGTCACAATAACACCAAGAAAATGCATCAAACAGAGAGGTAAATCTAATGTAAAATTTGTCATACCTTTGCCACTAGAAATTATAAAGCACTGCTGAGGAAAAATTAAGGAAGTTCCAAATTAATGAAGATAAACTATGATCATGAATAAAAATACTCAGCATTGTTAATGTCAATTCTTCCATACTCAACCACAAATTCAATGTAATACTAATAACTTTGGTAGTTTAAGCTTATTCTAAATATTTAGTTGGAAATGCAAGGGACCTAAAATAGCTAAGATGTCTAAGTAAAGTCTTATTTTGAGACTTAGCATAAAGCTATAATTAAGACAGTATGGAACTGGCACACAAGTAAATAAATGAAATGGAGTAGAAATTCCATAAACCAACACATCATAAACAATATTTACCACAAAGCGCCATTGAAATTCACTGAGGAAAGGATCTTTTCAATAAACAGTGCTGGAATAGGTGGCCCGTATTCCATACCATGCATGAAAATTAATTCAAGACAGATCATAGAGCTAAATGTAACAAGTAACACAATAATGTTTCTAGAAGAAAACAGAAAAATATGTCAATGTCCTTGAGTTACACTGAGATATTTTAAACACGACACACAATCACTAACCCTAAAGCAAAAGACTGATGACACAGACTTCACTAAAATTAAGAACCATCAAAAAGCTACCATTAAGAGGGGAAAACAGCGCTGGGGTTGTGGTTCGGTGGTAGAGTGCTTGCTTGGCACGTGTAATGCACGTGTAATGCACTGGGTTCAATTCTCAGCACTGCATATGAATAAAAACAAAGGTCCATCAGCAGCAACTTTAAAAAAAAAAACTAATATATATATCGGGGCAGGCAGTAAGAACACTTATCCAGAATATATAAGGGACACCAACAAATCCATAAGACAAACAAGCCAGCAGGAAAAAAGGACCAAGTATATGATAAGGTGTTCAACAATGTTAAGTCATCGGGTATATACCAATAAAAACCATCCTAAATAATACTACCACAGAACAACTGAAAGACTAAAATACTGAGAAAGCCAAGTACTGGTGAGGATGCAGAACAACTACACGCTCATATTCTGATTACAGTGCATAAAATGGCAAACTTTGGAAAATAGGCTCTTTGGTGAGTTAAAATACATCTTATAACCCGGTAATTTATCCTCAAAATGCAACGCACAAGAATAAGCACAGAGCCTTTATACATATTAAGTAAAAACTGCAAATAACTTAAATGTCCAACAAGCATAGAACAGAGATTAAATTATAGCATATTCATACAATGAAATACCATGTACACACACATACACACACAATGGACTACTGCTACACACAATGCAAAAAGATGAACACCATGGACATTAAGTTGAATGAAACCAAGCAGATGAAGGGGACACTGACTAAGAAGGAGCAAAAGGGAGCTTTTCTAGATGCTAGTAAGAATTTTAAATTTTGATTTGGGTTTACATCTAAAACTTCAGGAGCTGTACACATAAGATTTAAACATTTCAGTATATTTTACCTCAATAATAGTTACAATGATAATAAATATACTCACACTCCCAACGACTCCATTTGCCTGCTTTTGTTTCTGTTGCTTTGTCTGTGATAATGGAACAGGAACAGGTGTAGGCTTTTTTTTTAAAGGCTTCTTTTTTTTTGATTTAGCCATTTTCTTGGGTCCTTTCGTCTTTTGCTGCCATCCTCCTTTTGTCTTGTTCTTATTAGCATCACCCTGCTGCTGCTGTAAATCACAACACACATCATGCTTTGTAAATCATAACAACAGTTTCATTTGAAAGTCAGTAATTTTGAGATGGAAATGGCTAAACTAAATGTCTTCATAAGCTAAATTACTCTCCCACAGTAATATAAGCCCATCAGGAAGTAAATAAAAATTTCTTTCTAAGTAAGATAAGTTAATAAAATTCCAGCTTTTACCCCAGGCTGTTCTTCTGCAGGCTGTTCCTCTGCAACACAGATGGACTGTTCCTTTTCAAATACTTCCTAGGGGTGGCAAGAAGAAAAAGATAAACTCTGTCAGCCTATATTTACCCTTCAGATAAACAAAGAAATGTTTTTAAAATGTGTTATCGGTTATTTTTTTAAGCTGTTTACAACTGAGGGAGGGGTAGTAGACTCAGCAGTTATTAACTTATGATGTATTATACGCAGGAAGCTACCTTCTAAAGTCTTAATGTCTGTCTTAAATACATTTAAAAGAATCATCTACTTAATGAAATAAAGTTCTAAGATAAGCAAATTCATTATTAAGTACAAAAAATTTCAGTTTAAAATTTTACTTTTACTTAACAGCAACCAAATGTGAATATTCTAATGTTATGACAATTTGAACATCAGATTATTTTCTAACATTAAGAATTTCAAAAAACCCCTACTATTAGTTTATTCATTATTGTCAGTGACACTGCTTATTGTATCTGTGGATCACAAAGAGTATCTACATATACTAAAGATATATCCACCAACCATAAAATCCTTTTAGAATCAATAAAGAAGCTGTAAAATAAAGTTTTACATACTAGTAAGACTATACTAGAAGATGACAAGTGATGTGGGTTGTGTTTCATAAACTCTCTGGAAGCATTAAAAACAATTCCAATGATCAGGCTCTAAAACAGAAACTAAGAGGTAGCAAACTATGGCATGCCACCAATTTTTAAAACAATGCTTTATAGGAACACAACCATGCCATTTGTGAGTTCAGGTATTGCTACAAAGACTACATAGCTTATAAAACCTAAAATATTTACTATCTGGATCTTTATAGAAAAAGGTTGCCACTCCCCAGTCTAATTATATCAGCACTTCCTACGTCTTCATTTATTCATTTATTAGCTGAATTCTACAACACTACTTGATTAGAATAGAAGGGAAAAGATTTTAATCCTTTTCCTTAGTCCAGTCAGGCTTCCCCCTATGCCCCCCCACACCCACATAAATATACAACTACCACAGAAATGTCAATAGCCCAAGACCATTTTTTTTGCTCATTTCTCAGTCTGGGAATTCCACAGCATGTGAAAATTATAATTTTAGGTTCTGAACTTAATTTTAGCCTGGCATTCCCTTCTCCCAGGAGGCACCATCCATCCCCAAGTCCATGACACAAAATGCTTCCTTACCACTTGCTATCATAAAATTAACATTTTTATTTGATAAATATTTAACATGGGGTTTAATGCAACATATATTTCATGAAAATAGTCAGAAACTCCAGAGCAGAGTAAGATCTACCATTAGTTGAATAACCTGAAATAGCACAGGTCCACTAAAAATAATGAGTCACAATATACCAGTTGACTTGGAAGGTAACATAACTATGTAACAGAAAAGGAGAAAAACAAAATGCAGGAAACACAATGTCTAGATTTAACAAAAAAAAAAAAAAAAAAAAAAAAAGAAAAAGAAAGTAAGAAAAAGGATATGTATCCTGAAGGTCCAACTGTAAATATGAACAGGAGGAAAAATATGAAAGGATACACATAAACTGAATTCTGGTCATAAGAGGTTGACAATAGGTTTTCTTCAGGGAGATGAGTGAGATAAGGGATCCATGATAAAAATAATTAATTCCACAGGTAAAAATGGGTTAGGGCATTTAAAAAATTGGTGATGTGTCTCAGTAGTTAAGTGCCTTTGCGTTCAATCCCCAGTACCTAAATTAATTTTTTTCTAAACTTTTCTCCAATGCTTGAATTTTTTCCCAGAGAGCATAAATTTTTCACACTATCAGAAAGTTATTTTCACTGTAATTTTTAATTCTTTTAATAAACAACAAACAGAACTTGCAAAATCAGTTCTCATTACTACATTAGTTTCAACTTTGAGAAATTTCTACTTAAACTAAGAAAAATAAATATAAAAATCTTGAAACATAACTCTTAAAGCATAAAAATATAGACTACTTACTGCCATTGTTTGCCTTGTCAATTTAACCAACACTGTGACTAGAGATCCTACTGTGATGTTGTTGCTATCTTCATCATCCAATACTGTAAGATGAAAGGAAAGAAAGACAGCAAAAAGTAAAAATTAAGTTCTAGGTAAATGTAAATAGCAAAATCTAATTTACCCAAATCAATTTGGTATTTTGAGCATACTACATTTTAAGCTTAATAAAAAACAGTGTGACCATCTATAAAATTCTTATAAATGCCTTTAGCAATTTAGTATATGTACTGTAAAAATCCAATGGTAAATAGGACTTTAATCCTTAAAACAGCTCTACAAAGTGCTTTTACTTATTATCACTTCCACTTCAAAAAAAGAAACCAAGGTTCAGAAATAAAGTAAAATGACCACACAATTGCTGCCCTGGCACTGCCAAGTTTCAAACTCCGGACTCTGAAAACATAGTATGATACTAGAACTACAGAAATGTCACTCTTGTGCAAAGCTTATATTCACAAGACTTTGCCCATGTGATCAATGCCTATCAGAATAAAATAATAAAAACATATTAAATCACCATAAAAACAATTTTTAAAGGTAAGAACGTCAATATATTCTCTTTATATTAAAAATCACTTTGAAATTTTTTTGCAATAAATAGTACCCTAACAATAAAATTTTGCCAACTACTTAGTATTTTTAAATCACATTTGCCACATACATCCCCAAAATGTCTACATACAAAACAAAAATTAAATTAAGAGAAAGAGGGGCTGGGGATGTGGCTCAAGCGGTAGCGCACTCGCCTGGCGTGCGTGCGGCCCGGGTTCGATCCTCAGCACCACATACAAAGATGTTGTGTCCACCAAAAACTAAAAAATAAATATTAAAAATTCTCTCTCTCTCTCTTTAAAAAAAAAAAAAATTAAGAGAAAGAGAGAGGCATGCGGACAGACACGGGGGCAGGGGGGCAGGCAGGCAGACCCACCAAACAACCAACCAGGGCCTTATCAAACACATGCTAAGCAAGCACACTATGTTTGAACCACATACCCAGCCTTTAAATTCATTTTTATTATTGATTTTTATCTATAAGATTTCTTCTCTATATATTTTTGACTATAGTTTTTCTAAATTACACTTGTTACACAGATTTAGATTCGCATATACTCTGTTCTAGCTTTTACTGTAACACCAACAACTGGAAAACAATAACCTTCAACAACCTTTAACTGCTCACCCCACTACTGGCTATGAGGTGTTACAGGTGGGCATCAACAAAGGTTATGTATCCCTTCTTCAGCCTGGAAGACTCTCTTATCAAAACTCAAATCTGAATCACATATCCATCCACATTTTTCATTTGCAAAGCTTTACACATGTGAGCAGTACATGTAAAATAACTGAAGTATCAATATCTACATGCCACTTGAAATTTTAATGTGAAGAAAAAGCCTACCATGAGAGTCTACACAGCCCCTAGTGTAACTTGGAAGGAGAAAGCCATCATCTCCACTACTGTATTGATCAATGCCTTTTTCTTGCTTTTATAATTCTTCAAATTATAACACTCATATTACATGTTTTGACAGCACTATAAAAATACAAAATAAACTGTCTATACAAGATACTACTGAAGTGGAACAGATGAGTCAGAGTGAATACTCTCACCTTATATCTTGTAAGAAAAATCTCTTTACTTTTTGCTATCCTTGATTATATCAAAGATTATCTCTTAAGTCCTAAACTTAACTTTAATTTGAACAATTTCTGGTTAAAGCAGTGTAATCCTAAATGTACCCTTTATATTAGTGTTTTTAAAGATGAAAACTCATGGACCCAAATCCCTCCCAAAGTGATCCAAGGTTTCATTACCTGTATTATACTTGTTACACAGTCAACTCTAGGCAAATGGAAACCAGATTGCACTGTTTGCCTTCCTGTCCCAAACACTATAATCTTGGAAAGCCATTTAACCAAGCTCAATGTCTATCAAAAGATAAATTCAATAAGGCAGAGACTGTCTTACCTCCCCTTCTCCAGCACTCAGGAGATAAGATAGCACTCAGTATTTATTGCATGAACATGGGTACAATGTCTGTTATTTACTTAATACTTAGCCTATGTTCTCTTGTTTTTAATCCAATGTCTTCAACCAGATGATAAGTCCTTTAAAGACAGAAACTTCTCCTAATATGTCCCTGTATTCTTGGTACATATAAGAACACCCTCACAACAGTGACTTAGCGAATGTTACAGCATAGAACACCACCATAAAGAAGGAATGGAGGGGCTGGGGATGCGGCTCAAGCGGTAGCGCACTCGCCTGGCATGCGTGCAGCCCGGGTTCGATCCTCAGCACACCATATAAAAACAAAGATGTTGTGTCCGCCGAAAACTAAGAAATAAATATTAAAAAATTCTCTCTTAAAAAAAAAAAAAAAAGAAGGAATGGAGGAGATAATCTCTAATTCTGTCAGTGTTCTAAGATACTATTATTCAGCTATTAAAATGGTCACAGGGCAGTTATATAAATAGAAAAATATTCCATTTTTTTCTTGAAATAGATGAAAAGTTAGAGAAAATGTGAGAAAAACTCATGAAAGTTGGCAGAAACATGGCAATTTTCAAGGATTAATTAATATAAATAAGTTGGGGCTTTGAAAATTAATGTCAATACTAAGTGATATTTCTTTTAACACTATTTCTTCTAATGTATTTCACATATCTCATTCTTTTCATTACATTTGGAAATCTCTGAAAAGTTAAATTCTTGAAAGCTAAAATACAAAACAGTCTTTGCACTTAATCTTACTGTTAACAAAAATAAAGCAGGGCTATATAAGTTTTCTCAAAAAGATTTAAGTCTCCATCAATTTCCAACATGGTAAATCTGACAGGAAAACTACAGTTCTGCAGAGTCTCACTGCAAGTTATGTTGTTAAGTCCTGAATCAAATGAATGAGAACAAATCTAATAGGAAGCAATGTTCAACGAGGAAACCTATCACTTACCCTGTGATTTTATATCCATTGTCACAAAGGGAAAACTCCCAAGGACAGCCATGACCTCTTCATATTTTTCATCTTCAAGAAAGTGTAGTAGACTGTGACGATCTGATTCTTTTAAACTCACCAAATCCTGTATAGTTTTAATTTTATACTGAATAAGAAAAATAAAAGTTATAAATCCCTAATTCATGAAACTTTTCGTAAAAATAAATTATGTTAACTAAAATAAAATCCAGCAACTTTAAGAAAAATGTTAATATTGTATGCATTTCAAAGCAGAAAATACAACTAACTAATAGTATTTCGTGATTCTTTTCTCCAATGCCGCTTAAATTAAGGATCAGTTCAGCCTTTGTTTTTTAATTTAAAAAAATTAAAAGATGTTAGTGACATTCATATAGAATCTACCCCCAAGTAAAACTACTGTCTTCAATTTGTTTATTTTCAACCTTATTAAAAATAAACTTTAAGAATAAATACCTCACAAGTACAGATACACTCTCGAGGTTTTAACTATGCAATATTCTTAATTTTTGTTACTTTTCTAAATATGACTGTTATTGTAATAATATCCACCATGGCAAAATGGTTACTTATAAGAGTGTTCTTTAATTTCAGTTGTTTGGTGTTAATTATTTAATTTGTACTTTCACAAAAATTAGATTATAAGACAGGTAAAGTTCTGGTTTTGAATTTTAAGATTTTTATGATTATGACATAACATGATCAAATTGATAGGGGCAACACAATTACTTTAAAAGACAGCACTGTCTTCTTAATACAAATTTCTAATATACATTTATTAACTTTACCTTAATATAACACCAAATCCAATGTCTACCTTTTCTCCCTTTATCTACTATATATGCAAAGTAATGTTTAAAATCTTGCACTAGACTTGTAATTTTACTTCTGTTTTCTCAAGTTTTTCCTTTATACATATTTTTGCTGTATCTAAATAGTTCATTATATCTTTACCATAGATTATATTTTCTAAATAAGAATTATCTTTAATGTATTTTTTCAAATGTTTAATTTTTTTATTCATACTCAAACAAAGACCCATTATATTCAACCTTTAAGCCAAAAAAGAAATTACTAAAATGTATAACATACACTTATTTTTGGCAACATATGAAGCAAAGTGTCAACTGCTAAAATGCATTGACAAGCCCCCCCAATCACAGTAACATTACTTACAATAGTAAAATATTATTAAAAACTACCTAATCAGGAATATGTTAACAGAACCACTTGAAAGATAGTTTCATAACACTTAAGATATCCTAAATCTAAAAAATTCATAGGAACCATTTCTTGAAAACTTTTCATTCATATTACCTTTAAGTGACATATCAAACTGCAAAATATTAACTTTGAAGTACAAAACAGAAGAGAATTACCTTTTTATGATTAGAAACTCTTCTAAGATTGTCCTCTTCAATGTGAGGGAGCTGCAGAAGAGGAGATTTAAATTGTTGAAGGCCTTGAACAGCCATCTGGGAAAGCTTCATGCAGTTTTCTAAGGATGCCAAAGTTGGAGCACGAAACTCCCTTTCTTAGAAAGAACAGAAAAAAAGAAGAAACAACAGGGCTGGACTTTTACATGTTCCGGAGTACACAATTCATCATAAAACCAAATCATACTCATATCTTTCACACCATTAATATCTTTAACACAAATTTTAAGATCGTGATATTGATTTTCTTTTAAAAATTACTGGAGAAGATATTAACATGCAAACAGAAAATGTATATTATCCAGCAATAAGCACTGATTTCATTAAAAAAAAGCTGCATTAACTCAAGTAACATTAAATTATCAATTATTATCAGCATCATGAATGTACTGATACCATGCAAATACTAACATCTCCCACAACAACCCATAAGCACTGTCTTATTTGTTAAGGTTCTCCCATTCCATTACTGAGCAACAATTCCCTGATTCTTTTCCTTCCATACAAAAAATATTACATGCCAGGTGAATCATCATTAAGTTTGTTAAAGAAATATTTCAAACTCACTGTTAAAATACAGAATAAACTAACTCCAAAAATAATCAGAAGGAAAAGGAAATATTAAATCTGCAGAGCAAACAATAAAACTATGAAACAATGAGAAAAATCATGAGCAAAATTGAGAAAGCCGATTGAACTGGCAGACAGAATTACAATTAGTTCCTCATAAATCTTAAAAACTGTGAAGTAAAATCTGCACATGCTTGCAAAAAATAAATAAATAAATAAAACAATTTAATTACATTTCCTCCTCACCTTCACGGCTCCGGGCCATTATTATTAGTTGGCAGATTACATTAACCATTTCTTGAAGCAAAGCAGGGCATTTTTTCAGCATAAATTGCTGATCTGCAAAACAATAAAAAACCTGAAACAATTCTAATTTCATAGTTAAAGCATCTTCATCATCATAGCCCAAGACTAATTCTAAAAAAGTTGTCCCACAAACATTTCACAGGATTTCAGCATTTTACAGTTTCTCCTCTGCATCACTGTTAATGGCCAGAAAACCCCCACTCAGATGTGTCAAAGGAAAATTTTAATATTATGTTAAGCTTCAGAAGTTAATTCCTGTTTTAAAGCAGCCTTAATCATAAATTTAATCTTAATCTTGCTGCCATTTGAGAACCTCAAGAATTTTCTTTTTGTGCTTGTAAGTTCCTTAAGTATTAATTAATTCTAAAAGCTAAGAATGAGAATAAATGTCAATTAAATACAGAGAAATGAGGAAGAGGGCAACAAGGCACACAGAGTCATCTATACTGCATATAAAAGTCTTAACTACTAGGTCTTAACTACTATTGGACATTCAACCTAAAAAAAATGTTTTCCCTGTTACAGATTGGTAAAAATGAAGATGACTATGTATCTATACAGAACATTAGCAGCATAATTACTAAAATTTCAAAGCAACTTCAGTGACAATGCTTGAACAGTACTCCTTCATTCTATCATAAGCATCCTTTCTTATGACAGAATAAGCATCCAATTTCTAAGTATCAAGTAGCCTTGTTTGAAGCATTTGAATACATTATTAAAGGAGATGGGGGACAGTAAGATTTCATTTAAAAGTGATTCAAATGTATGATATGTCAAGGTCATTGTACTGTCGTATGTAATTAATTAAAACAAATTAAAAAAAAACAGTATTTAGGATTAGGAATGGAGAAATGGGAAAGGGGATAGGAAGAGACAGAGACAGACACACACATTATGTAGCTTTAAATAAAGATCAAACAGATAGTACTCAGAACACTGGTAGGAGGGATGATGTGTGTGGGTGGGGGTTAGTGTTCAGTGGAGGTATTTTTTGTGAAACCCATTCCTGTCCCTCTAGAAAGCTTACAAATTTCTTGTTAAAAAGTCATTAGGAACTTTTTGTATGATCTGAATTTAACTAAACATTTCTCCTTCAGAATATTCTCTCACCTTGAAACACTAAATTTTAATATTTGCCAAAATATCCAACTTCGACCTTCAAACTATGTGAAGCAATTATGTAGCGTTATAGATTAAAAAAAACAAAAATGGGGGGATGGGAGTCCTTGAGCAATTATTTGATGGAGCAAAAAAAATAGTGACAAAAACAATGCACCATGAGATCTAATTAAATCTGTTGCTTTGATTCTACTAAAACCCTGTAGATATTAGAATCACAAATACCTTCTTCAAGGGTCTCAGGAATTTTCATTCTAGCAAGATGAGACAGTAAAAGAACTCTGGCCTTCAGGCTATATGGGCAGGTAAGTGGAGGCTCATTCTTCTTTAAATTAATGCTGCCAATCTCTCTGATCAGCTAAAGTAAATAAAATAATTATTCAAAAATATATACTTTAAAAAAGCATCCACTTTAGTACTCAACTAGTCATCAAAGAATTTGTACTATGGTGCCTAACCTGTGGTATTAGAATATTATCTGTTGGTCTGCTTGTAGCATCTTTATTATACTGGGGATCAAATTCAGAAGCTCCAGCCAAAACCATGATGAGACCTATGGAAACAAAGAGAAAAAAATGAAGATAAATAAATTTATTGATCAATTTTCCTTCTTGAGATACTTTCTTAATGCTACTTACTAAAAGCACTTTTCTAATCCCAAACCATTCTGAAAATCATCTCAACTCTACTACTGACAAGTATTAATTTCTCCCATTTAAAAAAAAAAAAACATTTTATTTCTTAAAATGTGGACAATACTGCCTATCCCAAAGTGAAGAAAAATGTATTACAAACTAAGGCACCAAAGAAACTGGATACATTAAAATCACTTATAACAGCACCCTTTTCTAGACTTAACCAGCTGCTCCAAAAAATTTTCTATAGAGCATTAGCATTCTGTGTGATGTTGATAACTGTTATATAAGAAAAAAGGGGGCCCTATAGTTAAACACACTAAAAATAATGCGTTAAAAAGAGTTGAAGGTTTCTTCACTGTGTGACTTGTCATACCTTTGAGTAAACAAAAATACACTGCAATTTCCAGAAAATGATGGAACCCTAGACGGTTTTGTGAACAATTGAAATACGTAAGATTCCCAGCAAGTGTCAGGCCTATAAGCTCTTTAAGGACTGGCACTACAGTCATCAATCTTACCTTACCGCAGAAAATACTTTTAAAAAATACACAAAAAGCAGAACTATACAGAGGTTAGCGAGCCTAAACCCTGAAGTTAAAGAACCTAGAGCACTATTCTTCACCTCTCTGCACCTGAGTTTTTTTACATGTGTCTGACATACAACAAACATAGTGTATGTGTAAATGGTTACCATTACTATCTTTCCTGAAAACAAACAAATCTACCAGCTAAATAATGCTTTTCTGGCAAAATTAATATAAGGTTAAGAACCAGCCTCAGAAATCAAGATCACTGAGGAAAAAAAAAAAACAAACATCAAAACACTATAAACATGAAACATTTTCAATAAGGAAAGGTTTTATAGCAATATTTCAATATAACATAATAATAATATATATGCACAAGAAAAAGAAACATCTACTCAATTCTAAAAAAATTATTGTGTGCACACTGTCGTATGATCTTGAGGAATCTTTTTCTCATTATCAAGAAAATTAGTGGTGCTGTGGTGTGGCTCAGCGACAGAGCGCTCGCCTAGCATGTGCAATCCTCAGCACCATATAGAAATAAATAAATAGAGGTATGTGTCCAATGACAACTAAAAAATAAGAAAATTAGTAAAATTGACAAATCCCAAATACAAAGAAGTCCATTTCAGTTTTGGAACAAAATTGCATTCTCCAGTGATATGAACTTTAGAAAGTGTGTTTTATGGATCAAAGAAAGTATTCAGTATGATGCGTTTTTCTTCCCCAAAAAGGAATTTTTAAATAAGACCCTGAGAATGAAATATTCTGACAGTTTTCTTTCAACACACCCAAAACATCTATTTTTACTCATTTAATATGGTTTAATGAAGTGCGTGAAGGCTCAGGGACCAAACTGCCTTTGGCTCACCCTAGTACTGTCACTGTGTATCCTTGGACATGCTAACTTTTCTGTGCTGCAGTCCTCATTAAAAAACATGCTTAAAAACAGCATTTACTGATGGGGGCATAATACAGATTAACTGAGGTAATAAATGGACAGTCCTTAATAGTACCTGAGACAAACAACAAAAAAAAGTTGGCTAGTAATGTTAGAAAATGCAAACATAAAGTTTTATCATAAAATCTCTGATAAAATATATAAATACTGGAAATAATATAAATACAAGTCAAAAAAATGTGATAAAGGGTAAACAGCACTTTCCTCTGGCTTCAGTTATATGAACTGATTAGCTATGAAACTATAAAATGCAATTTCTCCAATACAGAGTTAAAGAATATATATCAACTCCACATAAATTAATCAGAAAGTAATATAACTAATTTCAGTTATTTAATTTGACTTACGTTTCATATCCATATTTCGGGTTTTATAAACAAAGTATGTATAAATCTGTGTTGTGCGTATTAAAATCTGGTCTCCACTATATCGTATTGAACGATACCACCAAGAACCCTATAACACAAACAAAAAAACAATAAAGCAAGACAACATTAATAAATGTTAAGTTTCATGCAAAATATGTTCATGACAAATCTTCTTTATATTTCAATTCAACATAAAATACTCATAATTAATAAAAGCACTTGATCTTTAGAACAAATACTTCTATTGCCAAAAGCCTAAATACAAATGTAAATTACTATATGTGTATGATTAAAGAACTTAGTTTTGGGAAAAAATTATTTAAAAACAAAACAGGAAAAAGACCACTCACAGCTATAAACAGTATGTTAGTTCCCAATGGACAGCACGTTTAAAATTTTTTCAATAAATGACTTCACAATTCACATGATACTCTCATTCTAGTAATTCATATGATTGGCTCTCACACAAAAATCCTCTATAGGCAAGACATGTTAATTACTAGCCTCACTTTAGGACCCAGATGAACTCCAGGATCAGAAAGAACACAAGTCACAAAAGTAGTAAATGGTAAAAATCTTAAAACTTTATGGTATATCTCCATATTATGGTACTATGCAGTTATTATGTTTTTTTAAATGAGGCTGCTTTATATGCTGTGCTCCAAATGTAAAACAAAAAAGGTCACAGGAAAAATACATACAGTAAAATTATATAAAAGATTAAAAAAAAAAAAAGTGCACGTAAAATTTGAAAGAGGAAACAAAGAGTAATTATCCTTGACAGAAATAAAGTTGGGGACAAATGAAAATAAACTTTCATTTTAAACTCTAAATATACCTGTATTACCTCAGGTATGTTTTACTTATGGATTACAAAGATAGGCTCTTAAGTAACTCAAGCAATTTCACCTTTAGAAGATCTTTAAATGTAAGCTAAGCAAAAATTCTTAAGTTCAAGGATTAATGAAGTACACTCTAATACAAATTAAAATATTATAGGGAGACTCCAAAAAATGCCTTCCAAAAAAAGAAAAAAAAATGTTAATAAAAAGGGCTAGAACTTACCACAACAACTGGAAGTATAACCATAAATGCCAATCCATATACAAGTAAAACCTAGAAATGAAAAAATTATGACCTTTACCAGATAAATTATAACAACATTCATGAACATTTCTTTTGAGGTTTACAATACGAAAGCATTGTTAAAAGTACTCTTCATGAATTATCTCATTTAATCCTTATTATCATACTCTATGAGAACGGAATCACTATTGTTTTTCTCTTGTTGATGGGTAATACAGTACACAAAGGTTATATAGCTGGTCCTAGGCAAGCTAGTGGCGGATCTAGTAATCTATAGAGCCTATGCTCTCATACACCATAATAAATTATCTTTTGATTTATTATTTACTGACAAAATACAGAAATGGCAAAATGTCTTTATAAATTGTTTTCCTTCCAGTCAAGTATTCCATATACTCACACCTTACAAGCAGTTAGTGCCCTAGAAATAAATGACAATAGAAGTCCCTGAAAAACTGCCCATCAAGATACACTTCAAAATTTTCTGTTTGCTAATAAACATCTACTGAATTTTCCCCCTACTGCTTGATCCTAAATCGTGTAGCTTCCTTACTTACCTCCTATTCCCACAAAGTAACCCTAAGCATGACAAACACTTATATGCAGCAACTATCTACCCCTACAAACAATTTCAATATGTCATAAAATGGCCATTTGCAAAACAAATGCATTCAGAAGTAGCTCCTAGACAATTATTTTCAAGAAAGTTGTAGTAAGGAATCATCTATTCTTGAACAATAGGTAAAATAATTCCCAAAGTTTTAGGCTTATACCAACTCTCACTGATTCAACCTGATGTCCTACTGCCTTCTGAAGTACCATATGGAATACATATTGTTTAACTTAACATACATTAAAATTAGTTTAGCCTGAATAAAGGTGGAAAAAAAAGGATTTCAATTTTGAGTAGTCCTTAAATGTGTATCATAAAAACCAGTGTTCTCCAAACCAAAACTAGGACCTTATCTGAAAATACTTTTGAAAGAAAATAAACTTTAGAACATACTACCTCAAACCAGCAGCCCAATAATAGGAACCAATTGTTTTCTCTATTTTGTAAAATATGGAATATGTTCAAGTTAAATTTAAAAAGTTATACCAGTATTTTCTTTGTAAAAGTTCTTTAGATTATACCAAAACACATAGTATATAACAAAAATTACCACAAACACATCATGATATGTCTTATCTAAACGTACTCACCAAAATTGAATTTTTCTGGTCAACTATCCAAGCTGGCAGGGCAATTCCAAAGCTTGTGGCTGAAATAGGAAGAATATCATAGTTTCTGAAGAATCTCTACTTTTTAGTTTCATTTTTTATATCTCAAAATTCTACATTCTTTCCCCTTCCTAAAAATACCTACAGAAAGATTACATTATGTGGGCATCATTAGACAAAAGTTAAGGGATACTTTATATCTAAAAGTTCAAATTTTTCAAAAAAAAGAAAAACAACCCTATTTAAGTACAAGTTTTTCAAAAACAAGAAAAAAGTATTTACATACACAACTTTCTTCCTAAAAAACCTAAATTCTTTTATATGTCAAGTCTATATAAACACTATGAATGAGAAAGTCTGTTATTAGTTTACAAAAAATATTTTTTTCACCTAATTTTTATCTACTGGAAAGAACAATGACAGTTACTGCTCTTCTCTCTCAAAGTTTTCAAACTAGTCTTCAAAAAGAAAATTAAAAGGAAACCCAATTTGCATGTTTAACTATTATAATTTTCCTATTCATAAACTAAGAAAATAAAAATGCTCCTTTCAATATATACATTTTCATAATATATACTATATATTTTCATAATATATACTATATAACCAACATTTTACAATGATCATATACTGCACCTTGAGGCCCATCTGGATTTCCAAATTCTTCCCAATTTTTTCGGGACTCTTCATCTGTTAAACTAGCATAAAAAAATAAAGCTGCAACATTAGAAAGCCACATATGAAAAATATATACTTGAAGAGACAAACTACATTAACCAACCAACTCATTTCTCAGAAGATACTAATTCAGAAAATCAAGATAAAAGTCTCTCTGATATTAGGGGAAAAGGCAGGGAGCAAAGATTGCTATGTTAATAAAAACTGCTAACTACTAAGCCTTGATACATATTCCTTGCTAACTCATGAGTTCTCAAGTTGAGCCAGTACATTTTCCGAAAAAGCAAGGAGAATTATAGGTGACTTTTAATTTTTCCTGGAGAATTATAGGTGACTTTAATTTTCCCTTTATAGTCTCATATTTTCCAAAACCTCTTCAATAAACATGGTTATAGCTTATGATAAATACAATGTCTTTAAAAAATATAAATAATGCATGATGGTAGGTCCCTCCAAAACATTTAGAGCATATTCTCAAAGAACACCACCTGTAAAATTCCAATGTTGTGGAAAAAATCATTTGAATTATGAGATCAGAATTTTCTTCTAAGCCAACCATCAGCAGAACAAGAAGTATACCTCCTAACCAACAGACTCCAGGCAAGATGAATGCAACACAATGATTTTTTAACACCTTGCTATAAATGTAGGGCATTAGAGTCATTAAACACAGAGCTCAAGACACAGAGTCAAGATGGTATTATCTCAGTTTCCAGAGTAGATATTATAAAAAGCATAACTTTACAATGGCCAGGTGTGATGGCACACACCCACAATCCCAGCTACTCAGGAGGCTAAGACAAGGAGATCACAAGTTCGAGGCTAGCCTGGGCAACTTGGTGAGACCATGCCTAAAACTAAAAAATAATGCCCTGGGGATTCAATCCCCAGAACCTTAAACAAAACAAAAACTTCACAATGTAGTCAAGGAAGATAGCGCAAACCCATAAAAAAATTGATCACTGAAAGAAAGGCATTCTGGTGGACCAACTGGCAAAGATTCTGTTTACTTTCAAATCTATTTCTTTCCCCAGAACTTAAGAGGCAATGTCAGGAGCTGACCTGGATACAGAAGCCTTTAAGTTCTGATGCACCAGGGTTCTGAACAATTATTGCCTTCAGTCTGGCACGGTAGTGCCAGGTCCCAGTAACTTGGGCATATTTACCCCAGCTCAGAAAACAAGGCGTGGCTCCAAGAGTGGTCATCACCTGCAGGGGTTGAGTTACACTCACCTGTTCTTTGTAATCCTACCCCTTTGCCCTTTTTGGGCAAATGTTCCATAGATCCTCTCCTTGTGTGTCCCCTATATAAGAATAAAGAATTCCAGTGGAGCTCTCTTTCCATGGACCCTTAAAGTCAGAGAGCCGACACAGATTTGAAAAGGTACTTCTGTGTATTTGTATGTTTTCCTTGTCGTTTTCTTCAGTTATGCTGTGAACCCAGCATTAGGTCACCAGCTAGCACAGATGGTGATAAGGCAACACAGTTTCTGACCTACAAATCATTTTTACTGAGAGGCAATAAAATATTTTTACAAGATAATAAAAAACACCCTTAGGTTTCAATGATTTGTGCCTTGATATTTTTGGTCCTTGTTTAACTGTAACTCACTTATTTGACCCAATGCCACAGCAAAATACAGGAGCCAGTGAAAAGTATCTGCTTGCAAATAGATAAGAGTGATGCTACAACTTCTCTACAGAGGGATGTTTCTCAAAATATTCTGCTTTGGTTTCCCTGGACAACTGTCCACCAAACCTCGAGCTTTAGCTATTGTTTCTCTCAATATTCTGTCTCGTAAAGAGAACATTTTCCCCCCCAATTATCTGTCCTCTCTGCCTTTCTAATGATGGCAGCAATGAACCTGTTTTCTAAACAATATATGAAAAGCTTGCAATTGTAAATCACAGCTCATATCACAGAATCATTTTCTGATTTTGTAAACAGTACACACTTGGTTATAATGACATTAACTCATTCATCAAATTGTGGTGTGCCACTGTGAAAGACACCATGTTAGACACTCAAAGCAAATTCAAGCAACTATTTCAAGTAAATGATTCAAGCAAATCAGCAACTTTATTTAAAGTCAATTTAAAAAAAAAAACAAGTGATTTTTTACTACCTATGAGTGCTTCAGTATAAGCATTCCTAAGAGTTAATGTTCATTAACTCTCCACACCATCATGAGAGTGGTCATGAATGTCTTGGCTAATGCTCTCAAGAGCTTCTACAGGCCAAAAAAAGATGTAAACCCCAAGTTCTTATTAGGCCTTGATCCAAAGTCATCATCCAGTTTCTGTGATGATGAAGCATGGTTACAATGGTAAATTTAAATCAATGATGATCATAGAGCTGAGAAAGTTGTTGTGAACTTCACAATCAGGTAAAACAAGTACAAAGTGACCAGTCTCAGGTTTGATGTGTAATTCAAAGATCTAGAAAAATGGCAGAACAATTGTTCCCATCCCTTCAGTTTGCTTTAACTGTTCTAACAATCATAGCTGATAATTCCTTCTGACAATATCTTCTGAAGAAGAAATATGAAACACACACAAAGAAAAAAATCATAGGATTCTTTTTCCAGGGATGTCATGGATACATACAAATAAAATATTTCAACATTAAAAATAAAAGTAAAAACTAGAGTTGCCAGGTGTGGTGACACACCTATGATGCCAGCAGCTCAAGAGGCTTGTGATACAGAAGGATCACAAGTTAAAAGCCAGCCTCAACAGAGGGAGACCCTGAGCAACTTAGCAAGACAAGAGCCAGGCATAGTGGCGCATAACTGTAATCCCAGCAGCTCAGGGAGCTGAGGCAGGAGGAGTTCAAAGTCAGCCTCAGCAAAAAGCAAGGCTCTAAGCAACTCAGTAAGACCCTGTCTCTAAATAAGATAGAAAAAAGGGCTGGGGTTATGGCTCAATGGTCGAGTGCCCCTGAGTTCAATCCCTGGTACCAAAAAAATAAAAGAAAAGAAAAAAGGTGGCTAGGGATGTGGCTCAGTGCCCAACATCCCTAGGTTCAATTCCTGGTACAAAAAAAAAAAAAAAAAATATATATATATATATATATATATATGTATATATATATATACAGTTGCAGTACCTTAAATAAGCCTGTGATTTCAGCATAGATCATATATAACAAGCTTAAACAGACCAATGATGCTATTATAATTTTTTAAAATTCCATAATAATAAAATTCATATAATAATAAATGTAGTTTCTTAAACATGATTATATCCCTTAACTTTTGGAAAGAGGCAACACAAATCCTATTAAGAATGTAATGAACTCTTGTGTCCCCTGTCCCCAGGGAAAATGCACATTACAAATTCATATAAATTCTGTATACTACAAGCAATATACAGAATAGGTGTTGGCACACACCTTCTACACACCTCTAAGGTGAGAGGCAATGAAGATATACTTTCACAAGATAGCAAAAAAAGTACACTTAGTTTTCAAGTGACTTGGGAGGCTGATGAAGCAGGTGGATCACAAATTTGAGGTTAGCCTCAGCAACATAGTGAGACCATCCCCAAAACTAAAAAAGGGCTGGAGATGTAGCTCAGCAGTGGCCCTGGGTTCAATTCCCAGTACTGTAAAAAAGTAAAATAAATTCTGTAAATAATTTCAGAGACCCCAGATTACTGTAAATCTTGATGTAGAGAATGCTTTCACTAAATTATATGTGAGCAACCCTGAGTTGGCTCTGTAGAGTTAAATTACATAGTCAAGTGCTGGAGCACAAGAACACATTTTTTTTTAAGTTGTAAATGGACACAATACCTTTATTTTGTTTATTTTTATGTGGCACTGAGGATCAAACCCAGTGCCTCACACGAAAATATCTTCAAAGTAACACCTATGCTGTCCACTTACTATATATATCTTAAAGAAATGTTTTATACTTGAAAGCCAAATTTTAACTATTGCCCAGAAAAATGAACCAGAGAATTCAATGGTCTAACTCCTTAAAAATAACCAGTCTTTTAAAAGCTACATCTGGCATGTGAAAATAGGAAAAAAATTTATTTATAATGGGCAAGGAAAAGAAATTATATAAAATCATCAAAGCAAATTCTGAAACAAACTGAAGATCAAACATATATGCACTGCAAAGGCTGCCTGAATTAACTGGGATAATGAGAATTTACTCGTAAAATAGAACTTCTCAATTACTCAAAACTTACATTTAATAGAATAGACATCTTGCCTAATCTAGTTGGACTCATACAAGTTACAAAATCTCAAAGTTATGGGTCCCACTAACATTTTACTTATTCATTGGTCTGATAAGCCATTAAGTATTTAAAATATTTTACACACAAAATATTCTCTAGCTTTATCACATAACTGAGTTGAAACTAAAAATCTTATATTATTTTTCTGAACTTTTTTAAAAGGAACTGAACATCATAAAGTCAGAGCTAGCAACCTGAAAACAGAAGCATAAACTTGTTATAATACTTGAAGACTAAGAGGGGGGAAAAAGCCCTGCACCAAAAGCACTAAAATTAAAGCTACTAATTAAATAATCTTGGCTATCTGACATCTTCTGACAATCTTCAGTTCTTAAATTACCTGAAGACAGCAATTGAGGTACAGCAATAATTAAGGAAAAATAGTAAATGCTTGAAGAAAACATGTTGAAAGGGGGAAAAAGGAGACAACTGAAAAACAGCAACCTGGAGAAGAGATATGGAGAAAATGTTGGTTCTACTTCAGAAGCTCCTAGATACCGTTACTTTAATACAGAATCATACAGTATTTCACAAAGATAACCAGTAAGCCACAAAAAAAATGTAGGGAATAGGTAAAAAGTCTGTGTTTCACTAAGCACAAAAATAACATGTTTCCAAAACTTTTGTCATTCATATTACTTTCACAGTTTGCTATTAAATCTGAGTCATCCATAGTCTACTTATATTCTTTAAATTAGTTGACAAAATTATACATCACAATTCCTCATAATTCTTTAATTCAACAAAAGAACTAGGTGGGGATGTACCCATCATTAAGTCCTAAAGATTCTAGCTAACTTTAGTCTCTTGTAGTATTAACACCCAAGAAATAATAACTTCTTAATGTTATATACTCTATTCTGTCTTCCACGAAGTGTACATAAAGTGTTCCTCAAGGGATGGGGATCTATCTCAGTGTTAGAGTACTTGCCTAGCAAGTGTAACCCTGGGTTCAATCCCCAGCACCACAAAAAAGACAGCAAAAATGTTCCTCAAAGTCTATAAATATATAAATAAAGTCTGTACACATAATGCATGTTTGAATAATGTTTCTTAACAATAACAATACAATTCACCAGTCCCAACAAGAAAAATATGATTCGCAAGTCCTGAAAACTTTCTTTTTTTTTCTTTTTTTTTGCCCTAGAGTCATCTTTTTTTTTAATTTTTTATTGTGGGTTGTTCAAAACATTACAAATTTCTTGACATATCATATTCCACACTTTGATTCAAGTGGGTTATGAACTCCCACCTTCACCCCATACACAGATTGCAGAATCACATCAGTTACACATCCATTGATTTACAAATTGCCATACTAGTGTCTGTTGTGCTCCGCTGCCTTTCCCATCCTCCACCCTCCCCCCCCCCACCTCTCCCCTCCCCTCCCCTCCTCTCTCTCTACCTCCTCCACTGTATAACCCTGAGGGTCTCCTTCCATTACCATGCAATTTCCCTTCTCTCTCCCTTTCCCTCCCACCTCTCATCCCTGTTAAATGTTAATCTTCTTCTCCTGCTCTTCGACCCTACTCTGTTCTTAGTTACTCTCCTTATATCAAAGAAGACATTTGGCATTTGTTTTTTAGGGATTGGCTAGCTTCACTTAGCATAATCTGCTCTAATGCCATCCATTTCCCTGTAAATTCTATGATTTTGTCATTTTTTAATGCAGAGTAATACTCCATTGTGTATAAATGCCACATTTTTTTTATCCATTCGTCTATTGAAGGGCATCTAGGTTGGTTCCACAGTCTTGCTATTGTGAACTGTGCTGCTATGAACATCGATGTAGCAGTGTCCCTGTAGCATGCTCTTTTTAGGTCTTTAGGGAATAGACCAAGAAGGGGAATAGCTGGGTCAAATGGTGGCTCCATTCCCAGCTTTCCAAGAAATCTCCATACTGCTTTCCAAATTGGCTGCACCAATCTGCAGTCCCACCAGCAATGTACAAGTATACCCTTTTCCCCACATCCTCGCCAGCACTTGTTGTTGTTTGACTTCATAATGGCTGCCAATCTTACTGGAGTGAGATGGTATCTTAGGGTGGTTTTGATTTGCATTTCTCTGACAGCTAGAGATGTTGAGCATTTTTTCATGTACTTGTTGATTGACTGTATGTCCTCCTCTGAGAAGTGTCTGTTCAGGTCCTTGGCCCATTTGTTGATTGGGTTGTTTGTTCTCTTATTGTCTAATTTTTTGAGTTCTTTGTATACTCTGGATATTAGGGCTCTATCTGAAGTGTGAGGAGTAAAGATTTGTTCCCAGGGTGTAGGCTCCCTATTTACCTCTCTTATTGTTTCTTTTGCTGAGAAAAAACTTTTTAGTTTGAGTAAGTCTCATTTGTTGATTCTAGTTATTAACTTTTGTGCTATGGGTGTCCTATTGAGGAATTTGGAGCCCGACCCCACCGACTGTAGATTGTAGCCAACTTTTTCTTCTATCAGACGGCGCGTCTCTGATTTGATATCAAGATCCTTGATCCATTTTGAATTCACTTTTGTGCATGGCGAGAGAAAGGGATTCAGTTTCATTTTGTTGCATATGGATTTCCAGTTTTCCCAGCACCATTTGTTGAAGATGCTATCCTTCCTCCATTGCATGCTTGAAAACTTTCTTAAAGAAAACGTTTCTTAGCAAATAAATAAGTAAATAAATAAGAATTTTTTAAAAAACCTTAAAAAAGCACCTCTCAACTAGTATTTAACAATAAACTAGGAATAATCTACTAAAATGAATTTGTAAAAAGATATCAAAAATGAAGTATTTATTGAAAGTAAATATTAAACTTGCCTTTAAGTAGTTTAAATGAGGCAACTACATTGCCAAAAAAGAAAAAGAAAAAGAGAGAGAGAGAGAAACAGAACTAGCCTAATAAAAGCCTCAAAATGAAAACAAGGTACGAGTATACTCTCTTCCACTTGAGATGCTTACAAAATAGCTCAATGAACTCATCACTTACTACTTAATTTAACTAAGTTCACAATTTTAGGGCTGCAGAATAGTTCCATAAATAACACAGCATGTGAGGTCAGCATTTAACAAAAGTGTATGACACTTATTTTACTTACTATTTTATTAAAACACAAAACTATATTTTCCCCTCTACAAAATGCATAATGGGTCCTATGATACTTACGCTGCATAAGCTTTTGCTATCCTCATGAACATGACTTCATCGCCTCCTTTATCTGGATGATACTTAAGTGATAGCAAACGATATTGTTTCTTAATTTCTGCTACTGTTGCTCCCTAAAAGGGAAAGCTTTGGTTAGTAAAAGCAAGCACCATGTGGTAAAGAAATAATCCAACCTATTTTGACAATAAACTACTTAATATTCTGACAAAAGAAACTGACATTTCCTCCTACATATTTTGTACCATAAATTTCACCCCACACATTTTAAAATAAAAGTATTTTTATTTTATGGAATTAATATATCCTGCAGTACTAGGCATTAATGATTTTAAAATGAAGCCACAGAATGCCACATTTAAACAAAAGTACACAGATATCTATCAAAAAATGATCACAGTAAATTAAGACTAGCTCAAAAATGCTCAAATCAAAGGTTTGTTTCCCTTATAATCTGAGAAGGACTGGAAACCATCTCAAACTCCTGACTGCCATAACAACAGTTGTTACAATAAGAAGAATCATATTATATGCAAACTTTTCTTCTACAAAGCAGAAAACTAGAAGATGAAATTACTCCTTACTCTGTATTATATAAATCTCTGAATCAAGCCATCTGTTGAGCAAATTAGAAGAAGTGGTTTGGGGGAAAAATGGAAAGAGCACTAGATTTAGCTTGGCTACTAAGAAGCTACAAAACACCAGAGAAGACACAAATTTTCCAAGCCTCATTTTCTCTATTTGAAAAAAAGCTAGATGATCTCTATCATTAATTTCAGTTCTAACATTCTAATGATACACCCAAAAGACAAATTTTCAATGAGATCCCCCAAACCAGACTTAACATACTGCCTACATGTCTATCAACACAAAGGCATAAGATTTTTAACATTCAACTAACATAAATGCCCTCAGAGATGTCTTTTAAAATATGCTAACTTCTGATCTTCAAATATTTTAGCAATTACAAAACAATACTTAAAATATGGCAATTAATAGCTTCAGCTTAAATATATATACATATGCATGTTAAAATGATAATAAATTCATATCTTATTTTAATAAAAAATTTTTAACTGACTGAAGTCTGATTTCTCTAGGCATGGTCCAATTTCTTTTAGATGTGGACCTATTGTGTTTTAATGGGATCTTTAAAGTACAAAATATAATAATACAACTTACAGGATCCAAATTTAATACTTCATAAGGATTGTATTCTTGATATTCTCGATCTGTTTTGGACACTTTGTATGTAAGGAATAAGAACAATGCCCATCCTGCTAGTAGAACTATTTTCCTGTTAAGAAAAAGATACATGAGGTATAAATAATTACATGTGAATGGCTTTCCTTGAGTCTAATGATATAGGGAAGTTAAGGCATAAAACAATATAAACTAATTTCATAGCACTCAAATTCTACAGCTGCTGAGTTGAATATTCCCATTAAAGCAAAGATAATATCATTCTCACTTTTGAATTCTGTAAAATCTAGTACAGTGCCTCCCATGCAATAAATTTTCTATTTACTATTTGTAGAATTTCAAGTCCAGGGGTTAATTCAAGTTATTAACTTACTTGATTAGATAAAATATGTAAATATTAAGTATTCAGTAATCAAAATATATAAATATTAAGTATTCAATAAGCTACTGAATGTAAAAAAAAAATTGCTCTTTACCTAGCAATTACATTTTTAGTATGATAAACTAAAAAAAGTAATTGGTCAGCTGTGCAAAGATGAATAAACAGCATTGTTTACAGTAGTAAATCCTTGGAAATAATATAATGTCCATTTACAGGAAACTAAATGAATAAATCATTTATAAAGAATTAAGTAAACTATGATGCAGCCATACAAGGTAACATTTTGTAGCCAATAGATAAAAATGTGCATTAGTTAAAATTAAAAAAGATATAAAACAACATATAATTTGACAAAAAATTTATTTCTTCTTCCTCCACATGTTTGAAGGACATCTGGAAATAAGGTATTAAAAACCTCAAAAATAACACCATTTCAGTCTATCAATCCATTCCAAATCAAGAAATTTAGAAGAGAATAAAGTAGAATGAAGTATGTGGAGTATAAAAGGGTAGTTATGGATATAAGTAGTAATAAAAGAAAACAACAAACTTAAATACTCATCCAAAAATTACTGAATAACTGTTACAACCATACAGAGAAATACTTTCAATTAATAAAAGTAAAATTTCCTGTGAAAGACTATTTACCTTGTATTGTTAAATTTAAAAGAGAAAACAGCTTTCAAATTATTTAAAATATTATCCAATTTCTAGAAATAAAAAAATTAGAAACATATAAAGTAATCATTGTACGGTAGCTCTCTTTAGGTAAGGACATTAAATTATTTTTACTTTTTTATGCTCTTTGGATAACAACTTGTTACACCAAACAGGATTTGTTAGCAAAAACATATTAAGAATCAAAGAAGGACAAGTCAAATAAAATTGGAGTGACTTATTTTTAGAACTACAAAGAAAAATTTATGTGTTTAAACTCTTGGAGTAGGAACATAGTTTTTAATTATGTTCATCATTTGGAATAAGCCTCTTCATCTAGACTCATCTGAAATGATCTTGTTTCAACCTATCCACTTACCTTTATCACCTTGATTTTTCAAACAAAACAAGTCCTATCTTTCAAAATTCCCTAAGCTTTCCTTATCATCATGCTTTTCTCTCATATCTTTCTACCAAAAATTTCCATTCCCTATCTCTGCTCACCCAAACTCTATTCTTCCTTAAATATTCAAGTCAAGTGACCTATCCTCCAAAAAGCAATCCTTAACCTTTGCCAAAATGATCAATAGATGACTATAGTTAAAGACACAAAGAAGCACAAAACATGACTTTCTCTTCTCACCCACTCCAAGTTCCTTGGACGGCTGGATAGAATACTATTCAATCTTGACTAATCCCAGGATAGCTTAAACACAGTTGGCAATCAGATATAAATTTCTTTTCATTTGGCCAAGACAATACTCTAAACCTTAATAAAGGCATATCACTTCAAACTGTTTTTTCCATATTGTTTATATATGTCCACCTATGCCCAGAGAAGAGAGGGAAACATATGTGGAAAATCCCCTCACTTTGACCTGACTATCAAGGGAGAGGGGAATTGAGAACACAAGCTTCAGAACAAAAATCCCTCAGCTCATCTCCCACATTCCTCACTTATTAACTAAGAAAGGCTAGCGATTTGCTTAGCCTTTTACATCTCAGTTTCCAACTTTCAGAGCGAGTTTGAGAATTAAATGAGATTTAGCATATAAAGAATTTAGAAGGTAGCTGACAGATAGTAAAGAATCAATTCATATAAGCTATGGTCTATTATTAATAACTCTTCCAAATCTCAACTGTGAACTTACATCTGTCAGAAAAGCATTCTTTGTTGTCTTGAGTCAGAGGTAGAAGTCCTTCTACTCTTTCATGGTATCACCCCTCTCCCAGCCCTTACTGCTATCATTTAGATGTGCTTTGTCCCCCAAGGGTTCATGTACCAGAGGCCTGGTTTCCAATGTGGCAATATCTAGAGGTGGCTGAACTTTACAGTCTCTAAATTATAAGAAGACTGAGAGATTTTGTGTGTGTGTGGTGTGTGTTAGCCTTGCTGCTTCATAAAAGCAGAAGGTGGTTAGGTCATCAGAGGTATCATCCTCAGAAGGGATTAATGCTGTTCTCATGGTTGCCAGAATAAGTTATCATAAAAAAGGAAGACTGGCCCCTGATTTCCTATCTCACCACATGACTTCTCTTCCTTCCCACCATAATGCCATTCACCACGTTGTGATGTAGCCAGGAAGGGCCTCACCAGAAAACAAACAGGGTTTCCTGATCTTTGATTATCAGCCTCTAAAACTATAAGCCAAATAAACCTCTCTTTTTTATAATGTATACAGCTACTGGTATTTTGTTATAGCAACAGAAATCAGACTAAGGCACTAACTCTAATATAATTATTTGTTCATTTGCCAGTATCTCCCTAAGATTTAAGTCTTTAGCTGCATGACTTTGGTCAAGTTATCACATCTTTCTTTGCCTTGGTTTGAGGAAAAGCACAAATATTTACCTTGAAGTTGATACAGAGTTAAATAACATAAAAAGCACCTAGTACGCAATATGTACTCAATAAACTTCTAATTATCACCATGAAATGCAAACTTGACCACATCACCTCCCTGCCTTTTAAATCTTTTTACAATTCCCCTATAGCTTTAACATAAAACTGAAATTATAGCACAAGGTACAGAAGGACTTCATTCAAGACTTGAATGTCACTTTCCTCCTCACCCTTCTCCTTTGTTCAGTCAGTTCCCAAATTTACAAATTACATTTTACCTCTACTACAGGCTACAATTTCTTTTCAAGCACGTCTTAGTCATTATAATCCCTATTTTATATGATACCCGAAGAGTAAGCACTAAGGCATGATTTTTACTGAAATCCATTACTTACTTTACTGTAGGAATAATATTTGGCTGGGGTTTTAACAACCGTAAACGATACCACATACATCTTCCATATACTTTTCTGATATTCTTTAATCGAATTTGCTCTGCCAAGAAAGAAAAATGAGTTAAGCCATTTCTCATAGTGAAAGCAAAACCAGAGTTAATACCATACTCACCTTCATTACCATGCTAATATTTCATTGGAACATGAAAGTGCTGTTGTTCAAATAACCTCTACAAACATTTACAAGATGTTTGTAGGTTCAATTTTCTGCCATTTAGAAAAAATGCTCTATTTGGAAACTTTTACCAAGCAACTATTTTTTATGTGAGGCTTGACTTTTCTCTGTAAATGTAAAAACTGACTTGAACCCAAAATATTTAGTCATATAATCAGTACTTCTGAGAAATTCTCTCCTCTATTCTCTTCTTCAACAAAATATATCAAACAGTTAAAATATGATTTATTAAGAAAGCTAAGCAGAAATTATATTCAAACATGAAAATAACTGCCTACACCAAAATATCTTCCCATAAGAACTTAACATAGGTTTATATAAGATCTTTGACAAAAGCTATTATTTTAGTCACTTTGAAAAATTTGTAATTCAATAAAAAAGGAATTAAAGCTTAAGTATAATGTAGTATTTACTAAGTTAACCACACTTAGTTTAAGAAACTCACCCCCAGATTTAATTTTTTTTACAAAAAGTTTTAAAGTAAAAATCTACCTTTTTATAAGCTAAATTCGAAGCAAGGGCTTTGAAAGCCAAGAAGCACTGCTGATATGTATCCACAGCCACAAAAAAATAAAAATAAAAACAAAAAAGACATGTCATCATGTCATCTACCTTCCAGCAGCCTCAATACACTGTGGCTCCAAAGGCAACTCAAATATCCTTAGAACAATGCCCTTACAAGAAACAAGCTTCATCATATGCCATATCAAGTTCTCCCTGATCTTAATCAGATATGAAGAAGATTTACATTCATGTGGATGTAAAGATCAAACAGACTGTGAAGAAACTGTATGATACTAGTGTAGCTAGATGGAGAGAAGGCATGTGTTCATCCAGCTCCTATGATGTTTTGAATGTCACCATCAAAACTGAGTCCAGCTAATTCTAAATATTAATATTTATAACATATTTTAAAAATTTACCAAACTACAATCCTTACATGAGATGCCACATTAAGTAAAAGAACTTAGCAGACAACAGAATACTCCAAAGCTGCCATATAAGAAGTCCAACTACCCTATTACTACATACTTTGAAGACGACATTTACATAGAAGAGCTAGTTACCTACAGGAGGTTATCAGAACTAGATGTAAAGAAGGGTAAAGGACAGTGGCAGAAAGAGACTGGTATACACAAACACACACACACACACACACACACGGGGGACTGCTTTAAAAAGTACACTAAGAAAAACGGAGTCAGTAATTTCGCTGCCAGAGCAAATAGTGACAATATGAAAAAAAGCAGAAGAATGAATCCATGATATTGGATTAGAATTGAAAGTATCAGTATGGATGTCTTTTAACATAAAAATACAAATATAGGTCTATATACACACATACATATTTCCCTAGCTCTGTCTACAGTGCAGGTCTAGAACAGCAAAATCCCAACAGTAGTGAGCACTGCTAGCACCCAGATCTTGGCTTGTAAACACCATTCTCTATTAGCAGGAACCAAGGATCCTAGTACCTTCCCACAAAATATAAATTACCAAGGGTAAGGCCGGATATGTAGCTCTGTGGTTGAGCACTTGCCCTCATGTGTGCAAGAGGTTCAATCCCCAGCACCACAAATAAATAAATAACCAAAGGGGAAAGAATGACTCTACAGTGGGTAAGTGTGCCCCTAAAGATGTCCATATCCTAATACCAGGAACCATTAAATACACATTATCTTCAATGGCCAAATGGACTTTACAGAAGTGACTGCATTAACAATCTGGAAATGGGGAGATTACCCTAATGAAACTAATATAATTACTGGGATACTTCTAGGGGGAAGCAGGAAGGTCAAAGACAGAAAAGGTGATATAAAGGAAACAAGAGATTGGAGTGATGACGCCCTTTTGAAGATGAGGAAGATGACATAAGCCCAGGAACACAGGCTGTCTCTAAAAGAGGAAAAGTCAAGGAAACAAACTACCTCAAATCCTCCAAAAAGGAACCAGCCCTGCCAACAACATAACTCATGTTGATTTTGGACTCCTGGCATTAAGAATTTTGAGAGAGAGGCTGGGATATAGCTCAATTGGTAGAGTGCTTGCTTGCCTTGCATGCACAAGGCCCTGGGTTCAATCCCCAGCACACACACACACACACAAAAATAATAATAATAATAATAATAATAATAATAATAATAGTAATAGTAGTAGTAATAAGAGAACAAACTTGTTTTAAGTCACTAAGTTTGCAGTAATTTATTACAGCAGCAGCAGCAGCAGGAAATTAATACAGAAAACCTGACAGACACCATCTTAAGTGATCAGTGAACTATTCTAATGAAAGGACAAATTGAAATCCTACGCCAACTGACAGAATGCAATGAGAGCACAGACTTTTGTGAAATTCCTGGCCTAACATAAAATCTGAATCTAATAATGAAAAACACCAGATAATCCAAATTAAAGTTCATTCTACTAAGTAACTGACCTGTAATATTTAAAGTCAAGCAAAGATTAAAGGACTATTTCAGACTAAGGGAAACTAAAGAAACATGTCAACTAAATGTTACATGTGGTTCTGAACTGGATCTCTTGCTACAAAGAATATCACAGAAGTGTCAAAACCTGAATGAGATCTGACAATGAGATCGCAGTAATATTAAATTTTCTGACTTTTCATGATTAAATTATAAACACTTTTGAAAATACACCACTGATTTTTTTCAACCCCTCATTAAATTAAGCCTTATAACTCACATTTTCAAAAATAAAATCAAGGAAACATTTGATAAGGTTTTATAAGAACCAGCTAAAGTCTCTTTATTAACCAGACAGCTTGATCTATTCAAAGGAATGATGTTCTCCTAATGTCTCTGACCAAGAAAAAGTACACATGGTTTTCAGCCCCTATATTCTTGCACAATGTGTACTTGCACCTGTATGCCACACTCTTTCAACCTAAAAACTAACTCTTAATCTTTCAGGAATATATTTAAATCAGTCAACAAGCACTACAAGCCAAGAATAATGGCACACACCTGTAATCCTAGCTACCCGGGAGGCTGAGGCAAGAGGATCGAAAGTTTGAAGCCAGCCTCAGCAGCTTAGTGAGACCCTATCTCAAAATAAAAAAAAAGAGCTAGGGATGTATTTCAGTAGTAGAATGCCTCTGGATTCAATCCCCAGCACTAAAATAAAAAATAACAAAAACCTACTACAGGTTATGATTTATATATTACCATTTAGATTTCCAACACAACTAAATATTCACAATACATATCCCAACATAACTAAATATTCATAATACATATTCCAAATCTTTGTATAATAACCTCATGTTAAAGGATCTATCACAACTATCACAAGTCCTTACTGATGATTTTTAATAAGACACTTAGAAGGTTCATAACCCACTTGAATCAAAGTGTGGAATATGATATGTCAAGAAATTTGTAATGTTTTGAACAACCCACAATAAAAAATTTAAAAAAAAAAAAAAAGACACTTAGAAGTATAAAAATAAGTTAATTTATCAACTTCTAATTTTATAACTTCTAGTTTCAGAGAAACTCAAAATTATGTTAGGAATATCATTAATTGTTTTTGAGTTTTTTTGTTTAATTTTTTTTAATTATAGATGGACACAGTACCTTTATTTTATTTATTTATTTTTATGTGGTGCTGAGGATCGAACCCAGTGACTCACACGTGCTGCGCAAACACTCTACCACTGAACCACAACCCCAGCCCCTCATTAATGTTTGATATAGTTTTAAAAGAAACTATTCAGATGTAGAAAAGGTAAATTCCAAAGTCATAAATTAATTTTGTGACTTAAAATATTATGAAAAATATATCATGACTGCTGTCAGCAGCATAACTTTAGTAAAGCTATAGGGAGAGTAAAAGGTTTGGGAGAGGTGACTGCAACTGTACTTCAAAAGCTCCACAGTGCCTTGTTAAAATAGTCATATCTGTCCACGCCAGGGGGATCTGCCAATCTGCAGTATAACTAAGTGAACTCTTAGCACCATATTCATAGAACCCGAAGAGCTTAAAGAATATTAGCCAAAGTGAGGTTTTCATACCTGTTTGCCTGATTATCACAAAAGAAAAAAAAATCTTTTAACTTTTAGATTTCTAATTTAACATCTAAATTTAACAGTTGCAAAGGATGTCATCACATAAAGTTGATATCTCAAAATAAAACAGTTCTATCCACTTTTAAATGTATCCAATGAAATCTAAAAACCGTACCAATGTCATACCTTTTATCATCATTCACTTATAAAAATTAATAAATAAGTTCTTCATTCTACTTCCCCCACATAGTTTTATCCTAATGTAATGTATTTTTAACCTGGTAAAAGTCACTTCTCATATGGTAAAACATACTTATTAAATTTATTTTTTTATTCTCTGTGAGTTTAAAGTATTTTCCCAACTTTGTTTTGAAAATGTTCAAGCCACCAGAAAAGTTTTAAAAATATTAAAATGAACAATTCCCTTCACCTAAATTCACCAACTGCTAACATCTTGTACTCTAGGCTCCACTATTTCTTTCTTCCCCGATCCCCTCCTCTTTACCTGAACAATTTTAGAATAAGTTGCAAACATAACTGCAGACTTTACCTCTAAATGTTTTGTCATATGTCAAAGAACAGTGGTAAATTCTATCATACTCAAATTTAACATTTTACATGTTAAATTTTATGACATCATATTTTTGGTGTTATCATACAATACCAATATTGTAAATTGATAAATTATTAAAATAAAATGTAAAATTTCATGCTTTCACTTACAAGGAACTTGTAGATATCTCAAACTTTCAAAAGGGTTAAAAACTTTATACTAAAATTTAATTTAAATAAAAGCCCACTTTTGTCAATATGGCCTAATGTTTGGTTGAATAGCTT